ACGTTCTTAGGACCGCTGAGTAGTTGTTAGAACTTTATGTGAACCACGCGTAGTCGTCCGCAATGTCCACTTAACACACCGTGTTTCTTCAGCAGTTGCTGGTGCGGAAATTGGCGTAAATCCTCGACATTCTTCTTTGCCTGCATTCGAGGGATTTCAAAAGCTACTAGTCCACACTTTAACTATAATTGTCAAGGATGAATAGCGCTTTCGATGTGGGGAGGCACGCAAACATTGAGCATTCGGGAGAAAATAGATAAGTTCAACTCCGCCGGTGTCTTCTGCAAGAGACCAGCATACTGGTTAACCCTTTTGGAAGCGGACTCAGACAACCTGGAACAACCAAGGTCCTCCTGCATGACCACCTTCCTGAAAGGTGGTCTGCAGATTCTGTGCCTCAAGCCTATAGATGTAGCAGTATCAATGACAGATGTGAGTAAGTTGGTACTTGTCCACATTAAGTGTTAGCGCTTTCCTCACAGACCAATTCCGGTCTTTATGGAGAATGATCTAGGGGACTTTGTGGTCCTGCTATCTCTTGATTGCACGACAAGACTTAAAGTCATCCACGAAGAACAAATATTTCGAGGTAAAAACTGTTACTAGATCGTTAATGAAGGCTAAGAACTGACGAGGCCAAACTAGCGAACCATGTCTTGTGCCTCTCTGGACTAGAGCTGGGTCGTAGGACGATGTTCGGACTCTTACCTCCCCATGCCATTTGTTGCGGGAACGGCTGGTCCACCCCAATATCACATTGTAACGCAGGACTGGATTATCTAAGCGATTGTCCGCTTCTGAAAACTCTAAGAAAATGATATGATTCCCATGATCAACTGTTTCAGCTCATGTGTCGCGCGCAATTAACAGGCGACTTGTATACGACCGATGCTGATGAAAAGAATACTGCTGCAGTGTGATGACATCGTAATATCCAAGGTATCCCATCCACGGGGTTACAATGATCGCTTCCATGAAATTGACGAGCATAAGGAGACTCGTTACCGAGCGGTACTTCTCAGGCTCGGATCGACTTCCTCTCTTTTGAATAGGGGTGATAATACCTTATTTCTCTGTTGAATGAGCTTTGTTCCCCTTTTGGGAGTCGCTGAAATAATACCGTTAGCGGTTCGGCTAGGTGCATGGCTGCGAACTGCAGTGCTTTCTGGTGAATGTTGTCCTCTTAAGAGGGCTGTGCGCACTCAACGAATGTCGCTTCTTTAGCACAGCTTCAGAAGCTAAATGATCGCTGAATAAACCCGAACGTAGATTAACAGAAACAGGAAAAAGGTTCGAACCTCATACGCGCTAAAAAAGTAGATGATTAATGGGCCCTTAAGATGTTAGCTGAATTACGGGCTGTGTGCATACACCCATCAACCGTAGCGAGTGGTGCGATTCCGTGTCGTACTTTACGAAGGTTACTAATGTGTCTGTAACTAAGCTTTGGGTTCGATCAGTAGTATTCTGGAATCTTCTGTGTGCGCCAACGTAAGTTTGATAGCCAAACGCATGTAGCAGTTTTACTGAACTGCATATCTGTTCAGGTTGCAGTGACTGGAGAGCCCTTATAAACCCAGCATATCAAATCCCTTACGACCATGTATTTTCGTCTTCCGTCGCTCGAAAATTACATCGGCTTGACGACGCGCTAGTGAAGTGAAGGTTGTTAAGAATACTCACTATAGTCATGAATACCCAATAATTGTCGTAAGCAAACGTGGTCAGTGGGTCATAGTGCGTAACAGAATAAATTCGTCCGCGCGGTGCGGTTGTGTAGTCGGTGTAGCGAATTGAATCGAACAGTAAAGTCCCGTGATCGCTCCGGTCTAAAGGACTGCACACATCTAGTCCATCAACCATGAGCTCCTCACTGGTGAGCACTGTGTTTAGCGTCGATGGCTTATTCACGGTTCTGATCCTAGTGGGAGGGGTCACGTGATTGTATAGGGGTGTGCTATAACTAAGCTCTTGCAGAGTTTCCGCATCATGGATGTCGAAATCAGTAATGCGGATGACTGTAGTTTCGATTTAGTACAATATGTAAAACTGATATCATCCTGTGATCCATTTCTGGATTACATTTGGTATGTCGGTAGAAACAAGACAGGTGGCATCTGTGTTCACTATAGTCCACACAAGGGAAATCAAAGACATGCGTTTGTAGATCGTCCATGAATTCCTTCTGAAACTTCGTTCTATTTTTCCGGATGAGTGAGCTATCGAATATAGTAATTTCAAAGTCGGCAATCCCGCAGATCATCTACGTTATGGTGAACATCGTGATTTCTTGCGGCTATAAAGCCTGACATTGTCTGAATTCGGCCAGCTTACTACTAAGGCCTTGTGTTCTGGTCTACGTGCAGGACAAATTTCCAGTTACCCCAGGGGAGTTGGTAAGTGTTGAATCAAGACTGAATGGCGTGCCGAAGGTTGAGATGTCAGCCAATACCCGTTGTTTTGATGACTCGTTAACCATCGAGTTTCAGTCTAGTTACATAGCTACACGCCGTTCTTCGTGTTCTGATGATCGTAGTATTTCAAGGTATCCTGTCTGATGTTACGGTTTCTATTAAGCCTATTTCTTCAGTAAACTGAATACGAGACAGATTAACATATTTGACCATCTCCAGCTAAGCGCTTGCAAACCATGGCCATATACCTGCTACCTTCAACCGAATTCCTCTCGTTATTCCCTTGCGGAATTTTACCTGGTTTTTCAGAACGACAGGTGCCATTAGCTCAGACTAAAGTGTCGTCTTCATTACTTTGAGACCGCACACCTTGTACTTAATGTAAATTGGAATTATTGACAGCCGTTTCTCGATAACTTTGTGGAGGGTGGAAGTTTCGCGGGGGTGGCACCATCTCTCCCGATCACGTGCCGCCGCTTCATGAGGGAAGGATGTTGAAGTTGTGGAACTCCGTATACAATTATTGTACGCTTGCTGTGATACTTGTTAACTTTCTGTCGCTTACTGTTCTATTTTAGATGTTTTACCAAGGGATCTCCAGAAATATGCATACACTATGTGATGAGTTACGAAGCCGACTTAGCGACAGCGGAACGATCTATGTGTCGTCAGCGGAACTTAGAGTTTCCCGAAGAATTTGTGACTCACCTTAATGTATTGAAATTGGGAGACACTTTACCTGTCGCAGCATTATGGTCTCAGCCAAAATACCAGTGACACCATCGATGGAATTCCGTGGATTGCGATGGTCCATCAGCTTCCTTTTATTGCAATGAACTGTGGTTCTGGAACATTATTACCCACGATAGTCACGACGTCGTGGTGTCTTCTGGTAACTGTCGGTTCCAGGAGATTATTCGCTACCTATTCTAATTCTTTTCTGGGCTGCGGAATCTGTGACACCCAATATGTTCGTCACCAACACCCGAGTCACTGGTATTTTCTCCTGCGTTTGCACGGAGGCAACCAATGTTTTCGATGGTGAGAAGCTGCCATCAATGACACTGACTTAATGTTGCCTGCACCGCTGAAAGGAGTATTGACAGGCATGCTGACTTCTTTTAATTTGTGGAGTGAGGCGGGTCAGGGGAACTCGAGACACAGACGATGGAGTGGGGCTGGAACAGTCTGCTAGCTTCTTCTGCCTAAAGACGGAACTTGTAGTACCTCGTCGATGTACGAGTGTGGCTATTTTTGCTTCCAAGGAAGTAATCCTGTCTTTTAGCAAATGCTCGATTGCAGCAGTCAATTTGCCGCACTGTCGGAGCACACATAAACGGTTAACAACTGGAATATCCCCGTCTACGGGGCAAAACCAAAGGGTGTAGCTTAGACCATCGTACTGCATCATCTATAGCGACAATTTGCCAATTTGCGCTAGAATTCTCTAATAAAATTTGGGCACGATAACACCATCTTAACAACTTTACCGCATTCGCCTGAAGCGCATGCACCGTCGAGTTTTATCCTCTACTAAGCTGCTGGTATAAACCTGTCCTAGTGCTGCTATTATGAGGGTCAGCACAACGTCCGAGGTCAACACATGTGACGATAATTTATTAAGAGTTCATCTCAGAAGGTCCCAAGTTAGCTAATCATTCAGACGCCGGGAAAAGTCCCAGACCTCCGATGGCGACAGAGCAATGTGAATTACAACTTAACCACGATAATGGCGACTCATCCTCAACTGCCAAGCACATGAAAGAGCTTGCAGAGGACAGGACTGACCCTAAGAGTCACGGCGTCTATTAACAGTAGGTTCGTACAATATAGCACTTAGTAGCCGTTAGGGTGACTGTTTTGAAATACTAACCGGCGATGACTTCTCAGTAGAAATCTCATCAAAAATCCCTTACTCACTAGTACACGCGGGAAAAAGCTTAGTGTTTAGAACGATTTGTTTGTGCCTAGCTGTATGCATACACGGTTTCGTCGAGAAAAATAGCACATACCTAAATTTCGTCGGTTGAACGATCGGTATACGTGCTGTGTTTGTGTAAATTTGGAAATCGAAGCTAGATGAAAACGAAGTGGAGTGTGAACCATGGGCTAGCAATGCATCAAAAGTCATTCCACATCTTCCTTAAATACGCTGTAGATGATTGTTCTATAGAACACAGTGGCGCAGATGGAAGCTTGTATGCGTTGGTTCGCGCACCAGAGTAGTAAAAACAACGAGGGTTGCTAGAAGCGTGTTCTGTAGAAAATGATTAAGTGGGCTCAGTGTATAGAGCAAATAATAGCGGTTCGAATGAATATATACTGAAAATGCTATCTGAAGATAGAGAGGGATAATTCAGTGGGAACAGAGAGCGCAAATCGCTGCAGCCGGGCAGCAAGTTGTCGGACAGAAAAAGTGTGGCTGCTCCTGAGAGTATCCTGGTTACTTTACCGTCTCTTACACGATGCAAATAAGGCAAACAGTTTTGAGTTTAAGACATTAAAACATAGGTACTGATGGTTTTACAGTCTACTAACTGGAGCCACAATGAAGACACAATTGAAGTACAAATGATCTAAACGAACCTTCTCTCCGATGGGCCCGATTAGACCAGCACTGCCTTTAGCTCCTGGTTCACCATCCGCCCCTCGCGGTCCAGGTTCACCGGCCTCTGAAACCTCTCCAGGCGGCCCCTGTTCCCCTTTGACGCCGTCAGCAGCATCTCCGGAATCACCAACTTCTCCTTCCTGCCCATCGATTCCAGGTTCCCCTGGGTTTCCTGCCTGTCCCTCTGGACCCTGTGGACCCGGGTCGCCTGATTCCCCCTGAATAGTTTCGCCGATTGGCCCTTGAACTCCTTCGGATCCCTGAAGACCAGACTGACCAGGTGGGCCTGTGTAGAGCAAAGAAACTTTCCGTTTGTAAACAATAACATGGATGACCAAGTCGTCTCCTAGGATTCAGTTTAACAAGTCCAAATGTGTCGGCCTGTCTAACCTCACCTTTCCCGGCACCTGCATCAACCAAAACCTGACAACTGTCGCACGTGACATCAATGTGCGAAGCAAAATAGCCACGCACCTTAGTCCCCTTTCCCATAAGCGAAAAGTGATAAAAGCGTGCATCGTTGCTGCTTAATGGTTTATTGTAACATTACCACACTATCCATGTATCATACACACCGTTAGATATGTCCCTAGCCTACGTGGAGTGGCTTGGCCTCACCACGACTAATGCCAGTTCCGTTGCTTTTGGAACACTTCTAATAGAGATATATGGATCCGTCACAGGAAGCAAGAAGGTATTCCCTTTAGGCTGATCTATTCCCCCTGAAGTAATGGAATCAATGATGCATCATGGGCAAAATAGCTACCGGTTGACGAGTCCCATATGATGGAAAGGTGGATAGTTCGTAAAACAAAGGGGCATCATCGAAATAAGCTCAGTTGTTGGGTTCACCAGGAAATTTAACTAACCACACCTAATGTGTTACGCACGTGCTCAGCCATAAAGGTTTATATTGCTTAATGTAAGTGTAAGTGTGTAGCTTTGAGGTTTTTCGTGTATGGTTAATGTGGAGGAAGAAATAACGTAAGTGGAGCGTGTCCCACGGTCTGCACATACCAAAAGAGGGAAGAAATTGCGCCGTCATTCCAACCGGCTAAACGCTGTGACTGACTACACAGATCACTCCTGTGTAGCACTTTTGTTCAATGTGAGAACGTAACGACAAACGTGGTTGCGGTCCTGCAGGACCATTATCAAATCGCCCCTTGTATGGATTCTAATGTGCCGATGTAATTCATGCGCTAAATTCCTGATTCATTGGCGTACCTATGCTACTATATATCTATAAGTAGTATATTGTTCTCCACATGTGCCATCACGATGATTAGTCAGCACACCACTATTGCTCACCTTCGGAATCTGAATTAACTGCTGCCTATTTCGCAATTTCCTCTTAGCCCACATTATATGACCATTGTTCCTTTACTGATAACGATGTGCATAGCTCAGACATCCAGATAGTTTGTTTCAATGCACCATCTAGCACGTAATTAAATGAGCGCAAACTGCTCGAACTGAACACGTGGAATTATATTTGTACCTATTTACGAGTCCGTTCACTTGTGCTAAGTATACGCTTCTATTTTACTCTGTGGTCCTTGATATAGAATCACGGTTGCTTGAACACAATTTGTTCTGCCCACCGCCCTTAATTCCCACATCCAAGACCGTGCGTTTAGATAGGTGTCGTCAGCTCGCCGTTAAACTGCGAGCACTGTGGTAACACAGGGTTCTTAGCCTTAATTGGTAAGGCCGATGCAACAACTCTCTTACATTCTTAGTTCGCTTACAAGCACTAGGCGCTGTTGTTTTTGGAGGATTGGTGGATGACACTGATGATGGTCATCCGTACAGCGACACTGCAGTTTTGCCCATTCATGTGAACGGAGTCACCGGTTCCTTTTCTGCATTAGTCTGGAGGTGACTGATGCGTAGGACGGTGGGCTGGCTATCGTTTTGAGTTTCAGAACTACTGGAAGCTACACCCAGGAAGAAAGCGGAAGTCGGCATACTATAAGCGAATTTTCCACTTAGGGAAGCAAACTAAGTTGGAACGGCTTGGGATGGGAGATGCTGAGGCGAGGTTGGTTTGCCTGACAGTCGGTTTTGAACTGAATGGGGAATTTGGAGTCGCTAGTTAACATGCTGGCATAGTTTCGTTCACTTGCATAGGTGTAACTCTGGCGCTGGTTAATAGCCTAATTGTATTTTACATTTCTTCATTCGCACTTTTAAACAGCTAATAACTGGGATGGTCCTTGCACATCTGGCAGAATCAAAATGTCTCACTCGTTCTGTTGCGCTGCCCTACCTCCAGTAACAACGGGCATGTGCATTTAGAGTAAAATGCTTTGGAACAGTTAACATACGTTACCCCCGTCTTAACGTCTTTTACACATGATCCACATCGGCTCCCGTGAGTCAGTTTCATGGTTAGCTCGGTTGTATTAAATCATGACATGCGCTACTCTGAGTTCGAACAAAAGACAAACGAATGAGGTCACCGCTTTCTTTTGGTACTCCGAGGTGCTAGAGGTACCGCTGCCTATTTATCTCACTTGTGCGAAAACGAAGGGCGAAGTACACGGCACTAATTGATCAGGATTCAGCCTGGAGTTCATTCGCAGTGACTTTTAAGTGGTGAAGGGAACGGGCCATGACAACCGCTCTGTGCGCGTGATTCAAAGAAAGTAGACAAGGATACCAGCTAATTCAAAATTTTGAAGTCTCCAGAGACTCCTGTACGTGTTGGAGGAACCGCCGTTTGGGAATGTTTAGCAAGTGACCCATCTTAAACTGGCTTTTCTTAGGCCTTTTAAAATATGTGATTTAAGTCATTGAAGTAAGGAACTATTTATTATTTTATTATTTTCTTGATCGAACTTTTAATAAAGACATTGATCTCTTTATTTTGAAACCATTTTGGCCGATCCAAGTTTGTTCTCATTAGCTTAATTCTTAAATCAGAGGTGTCTTTAAAAGATGACGCCGGAAGAAAACGGGTTAACGCCGTTAAATGTTGAAACACTAAATTCCAACCCAATTCTGCGAAGCCGCAAGAAGGAGTACTTACGCATTTTCCTCTTTAATTCAAGGCCGGACACTCCCCTTGTTTTGCAAATTCATGGTTGGCTATTAAACCTTAATCAAACATCTTACCGTCGCTCCTATGAAGAAAAATTAAGCACGCTGTTTCACTTGAAACGAAATCAACTACAGTTCCCTCGGGGAAAGTGCGCAGGTTTGTTGGTTATCTTCTTACCATGCAGCATTTAAGCATTATGTTATTAGATAATCACTGGACTTACCCTGAGGTCCGGGTTCTCCAACTGGACCTAACTGTCCGGTATCGCCTTTCTCACCGACTTGGCCTACCTCACCTGGTTCACCTTTCTGGCCCGGCTCGCCAGCGTCACCTTCCGGTCCCGGTTCCCCAACATCACCGTCGGCACCAATGGCTTCTAAAATGACCGAAATGAAACTCAGCGTAGCATAAACTTCAGTATGCTGATGATAAGTTGTTGCAGACGATATGTTCTGAAAGCTCAAAACCGGAAACAAATGGACAGACTTATTTGCTAAACAGTTTTAATCTCCGTGAAAGATATGCTGATGTATCAATGTGCAGTAGCAACCATGCTTTGTCTTCCAGCCTGATGACTTAGCTTTTTGACGCCAGATAGGGAGGTGCAAGCAGAAGCATTACGTCAGTGACCTATGGGCGATTTTAGTGTTTCAGTGACACTACGCCTTTGAATGGGAACTGGACTTCCCAAATCGCCTTACGAGTCATTTCTCTATTAACAACATTTAATAAAAACAAAAAATCCATTAACAGCCATTAACAGGAGTGATGCATTATAAGAGGAAAATTTTGACTATGACGATTGTCAGCTCGGACGGTTTTGTCAGGCATTCCGTCAGGTGGAAGAAGGTGGAATATGGAGAAGCAAACAGACGTTTTGACTACCATGATTTTAGGCATCCATCGTATTATTTCTGCAGTATGTGCTATTACTCCACAACCTGTTTGGGTTGCGTCGAATCGCTCCGACTGGACATTTCGCTGGTGACGCCAAACGTGAACAGTTGAAGGTGATTCATCACAGGTGGCGCTGCCAAATATTCTTCTAATTAGTTGAGAGTAGTTTTTTGAGCTAGTTTATTAAGCATATTGGCAGCGGTTTCAAAGCTGGCAGTCTACCACGCGTCCAGAAAAACAATAGACAGCTGTTCTGTCCGATTGGGACTCGTCTGTGGTACGCAGTCCACGGCTCCCCTGAGAACCGGACCTATTGCCTCTCGATACCAGCAGCTTATATCACTGAGTCGGTTGACAGCGGCAAGCTAATTGTGCGATATAACAAAGCTCTTAGATTTATTCCTATACTTTTCAACGTTACTACTTTGTATAACAGTGTATGACGGGCCGCGCTACATTGCATTTAGCTTTTAAGTCATTACGGCAAGGCACCGCTAACCTTGGGCCTTGTGACTTAAATCCATAGCGTCGAAAGATTACTGGTTCGGCTCCGATTTGAGTCGGGGAGGTGCACACTACTGACGAATCCCAATAGGACCGAACGGCTGTATACTACTTTTCCGGATACTTGGCAGACAGTCTGACTTAAAGATACTGCTAAAAAATGTCTAATAAATCAATCGTCCTAGTGGACTGTCTGGGCTCATCTCCTTTTTCAGCTAATCTGGTCTCTTTTGATTTGTCCGAAACGATAGTTCACCATAGACTTGAAACACAAATTCTATTCGCCCTATACTCCCCACTATCTCAAACCCGGCTAGAAACGGATGATGCCAACTTTCTCTAACACAAACAATGTCATTTGCAATTAGTGCATCGGTTTTGACTGTTTCAAAGCATAGCGTTTGGGTTTGTTTAGAGCAAATTTTCATTTAGCCTGTCAGACGTTTCCATTAATATCACTTGCGCCCATATGAAACGTCCCAGTGGGTAAATCTGTACGGAATACATGTCATGCAATTGTATGAATTCTCTGTGCATTTAAATTCCATTAGGTCGTCATAAGTCCGATTGCCTTACAGCCTTATTTTTAGTTATTCTCCCCTAGAATATAATTGTTATCCACTAAGTGCGCATCTAACCACCGTTAGGGTCCACAGCGTGGTAAATTATCGTTCACTGTCACATTCACACAGGTGCTGGAAATGAGCCTCAGGCATTGAATTCACCATGTGCGTGTGTGTGATTTAACACGCGTTGAAACATATAAGACGTATGTTTTGTTTCGATATGAGGTCTCCGACTGCGAACACTGCTATGCTGATCGTGTGCTAATTATTGACACAAGCAGACGGCCACTCGTAACCGGTTGGGATTAAGTAAAGAGGCATCGTGATAGTTCTGGGCTCAGACGGTGCTTTCACCACAGAACTGGACGCTGCTCAGTTACCGCTTTGTGTACGACTAGTACCAATGTTTTCACAAATTTTAAATCATTAAATATCAGGGGTCGATACCGCAGGAGTTAATGTTGGGGAAAAGTGTCTAGGCCAACAAAGTCCCTTTCCGCCCTCTAACAACCGAGATTAATTCGAGCAACTTACATACCACCTCGATTGGTGGCAAATTGCAAGAATGTCTTAGCTATTGGGACCAGCCAGCTCTGTCCTCTGCACTTTCATAACATGGATGACAGTGGAGAATAAGCAGTGTTAATTCGCAACAAATAGTCAGTCGTATCGGTTCTCCACGGTCAGCCATAGCCTAATATCCAAACTCACTGATTTGCAAGAGTAAATTCATGGGCTCGGATCTAGCAGATTCGGTGGATACGCGCTCTGGACGAGTTCCATTCGCATGAGACGATTGTTTAACACTTTTCCGGATTTGCTGCAGTCGTTTGATTAGGTCCGGCTACGAGGAAACTTTTAATAAATATTGTGGTGCACCTTGAACATGCGGCTTCTGAGCATTCGTGTTACCCTGAGGCATTGTCACCTGGCATTGGCTAATAGTCTTGGTAACAACGAGTGGGGTGACTCAGAAAAAAACCTTGGTCTCCTGTGGCATGCCACCCGATCTTAGTCTTATGAGTTTACCTTGGGTGTGAGGTGTGTGGCTTCAACTGGTAGACGATGCTTTCTGTGCCTTGATGTTTCCATTCTCTGGTTACCATAGTACTAGACCGATCACAAACGTCTTGTACTTTTAGTGTGAACTTGAAATAGCTAGCACCTCGGGTACGTGGAGTTGAGTCGAAGAGTCGATATTCAGTTCTTTCTCGCAAACGCTTCATTGCTATAACTATTATATGATGCAGCTACTGTGACACTCCGTCTTTAAATGAGGTTTGATGCCGAATAGAAACTAATTATTTGCTTGACTGTGTTTGAAAGGAAAAATTTTGCTTACCTGGATCGGTCATATCTACTCCAGGTTCACCAGGATCTCCGGGCTCGCCCTCGTCACCGACCGGCCCAGCTGGCCCAGGCTCTCCAGTTGGACCATCTTCGCCAGGGAGCCCAATTTCTACGCACTCTCCTTCTTCTCCCTGCGGTCCAGGATCTCCAGATGGGCCAACTGGTCCGCGGTTACCATGTTCACCAGGGTCACCCATTTCCATGTCTGCACTGGACTCCCCTTTCGGTCCGACATCACCTTTCTCGCCCATATCGCCTTTTTCACCGAAGAAACCGTCATCCCCTGGTCGTCCTGGGTGTTTTTTCAAGAGAACCGCGGAACAATGGAAGAAGCTTAACATGTCTCATAGGTTGGTAATAGAATAAATTTGGATTTGAACATCACATAAGTGGATAAATAAAATACGAATGGGCAAAGCGACAGAGTACTAGTGTTAAGAAGAATGGTTATGGGTGTGGGATAGCAAAGGCAAAACCAAATACAAACTTGTGATGGTGAATACTCATAGCAAGTAAAAGCAGATTGCTTATCTCTCTGTACAGATGTACGTGCGTCACTATGGGTCATAACTACAAAGTCGCTAGTTAGCTAGAATAAATCCAGAATATCCTCTCAAATAGCACAGTGTAAAGCGTTTAGTTCGATATTCAATCGTTTTTTGAAAGCAGCTAATGTGGGGGCGCAGACAACTGAGTTTGGAAGGGCGTTCTAGGGTTGGCAGACTCGAGCGAGAAGTAATTTTGTCGACAGTCTAGATGACTGTGTTGTTGACTCAGTTGCAGACTATTGCTTCTAATGTTGGTGTTCGGGCTGAGTTTCAGTAGGTGTCAGCATGCGTGCTTGGGGTCGCTCGGTATCTGGTAGACAAATATAAGGTCTCCAGGTAGTCGCATATAGCGTCCACTGAACACTCCTAGTATATTCAGTCGTTACTGGTAAGGAAGGTTGCGTAATCCCTTGACAACTTTTGTTGCTTGACCTTAGGGAGTTTCCAGCGCTGCAAGATCTTGTTTTGGCCAAGGATGCCAGGCCTGGATTGCGTATTCGACATGGGGACGCACATAGACATGAGCATCAGAGAGAAGATGGATGAATCAAAAGTTCCGAACGCCCTCCGCAAGAGACCACCATGCTGGTTACTACTTTTTGAAGCGGATTCTGACTGTCTGGAACAACCAAGGTCGTCCTCTACCAGCACACCGAGGTCACGTTCCTAAGGGCTTGTGTGCAGATCGTGCGCCCCAAATTTGTATAGGTAGGCTTGTTTATGACGGATGTGGACAATGCGGCATTTGCCCACTTTGAATGGCAATGCGTTCCTCACTGACCAATGCCAGGTCCCATCGTGGTCAAGCTGGAGGATCTCGTATTTGTCCATTCGTTTGATGGCTCGCCAAAGTTTAATGTTATTCACGAAAATTAAAAATTTCGAGGCGATAGCACTCGCTAGATCGTTGATAAATAGTAAGAACAAGCTAGACCCAAGTACCGAATCCTGCGGTACGTCGTACTCCACTCGAATCCGGTCGGACAAAGATGTTTGTACTCTAATCTCCAATTACGGTTCACGGAGAAAGTTTTCAATTCATCCTACTACTGGATTACCAACACCGTAGAGCTGCAGCTTGTGCAGGGGCATTTGATGATCCAAGCGACCGAAAGTTTTCGAAAAGTCCATGTAAAGGACATCGAGTCCTGTCCCCGCGTCGATTGTTTCGGTCCAATTGTCACGTGCTATCACCAGATTCGTGGTACATGATTTATGTTTACGTAACCCGGGCGGCTCCGGCACAATGATGTCGTAGCTTTTCAGCTAGGCCATCAGTACGTCTTAGATGATTGCTTCCTTGCTTTTGGCGAGCATAGGGTGAGGCGTTACCGAACGGTAATTGTCAGGATCAGACTGACTTCTTCCTTTGTGAATGGTGGTTATCATCCATAGTTTCCACATTGACGGAACTAAGTTTTCTTCCAGACAACGCTGAATGGATCCGGCAAATGGTTGGGCCAGGTGCATGGCTGCTACATGTAGTGCTTTAGGATGAATGTTATCCACTTCAGCAGAGCAGTGTGTACCCAAAGCTAGTAGCTTTTTCTGCACTGTAGCTGACGTGAATGTGATGCCGGATTGCTTAAAAAGCGCGGAAATGTGGTACCAAGGGAATGAACTCTTTCCTCTATGTAACAACGGCATACGTCGTACTGTCAGGTAAGTTGAGCCATTTTAGTAACTTCCACCGTTCAGTAGATTGTAGACAATGGTCGGGGTCTGAGTGTATGAATATCCGTTTTGTAAAGACATTTCGGTGCTTCAATGCCTCATTGGAAGTTGATAATAGGTAATAGTTAGTGGTCCCTAAGACACTAAGGAGTGCTCTAAGCTATCTGTTTTCAGCTTTGGACCAGTCGCGCTGGGGTCCAGTAAAACTAAGCAGACATCCCCGATACTACTCCTAAGAAGACGATATTTGTTATAGGTACTGAGGTGATATCAACACCGTCTCCTATTACTTATTTAGACAAGGCTGCTGTTTCTGATAATGAGTTGATTTTGATAATGTACTGAACTAACTGTTTTAGCAAGTACATATTCCGTGGAAATCCCACTATTATCTGGCACCTTTGCACTAGGTACTGATTTAATGAAATTTCTCCACTAATGGCACATCTCTCGCCTCTGATGGTCAATGAACTATGCGAAATACCAAGCTACTAATCTACCAAGCCACAAACGTATTGCCAAGTCAACATGCAAGAGGTACAATTTACCTTAAGAGTTTGGGAGCAAAGGTTAATCTTTAGAGCGCATCGAGTGTCGAATTGCGCGGATGCTAGTATTATATGAACATGCATCTAAGCAAAACACCTTATTTCATGACCATAGGAGTTTGGTCCCTAACGAAGCACGATTGTTTGAATGCCAGGTCAGTTTCGTAGATTTACTGCTGTGAGTAGACTTTCAGGGGTTTATTGAGTATGCGTGAAGTGTGATCTTCCGGTCCCTTTGCTACAAATCTGACACATCGTACGATGAAGCGACGCTCAGAACCAATCAATTACAGTACTCATATGTCACGGGACAAATCCAAACACCTAGCTCCTTAACGTTTTGATTCGTTCTCCGAGCTGAGTAATTTAATGTCAAATGTTTCACCACTTCCCTCAATGGCATCTTCAGTGTACAGCTCCGTAGGGGAAATCTCACGGAAAATGTCGTTGGGACGTAGCGTTTGAAATTACCCTCGTCGATCTGTGTCCCGTGACCTCTGTTTGTTCGATACTTAGCCGTCCAGCTTCACGCCTTCTCAGCTGTAGGTACACGGGATCGAGATCAATGCGGAGGTTCAGGGAATTCTCCGTAGAGAACCATGCCTCGAGGAATTCCCTTCCTTTTCTTGTCCCTCCGTGCGCCAGAATTTCTGTTTTGTCCCAGTTAACATTGTGTCCTTCCTCATCGAGGTGTGCTGAGATCTGTGACGATATATGATGATATCGACACGCACGTTTGTGCTCTTTTATTCTTGTGGATAGTTTTCTCCCCGTCTGACCTATATAGTCTTTATAGGTCAGACGGGGAGAAAACTATCCACTGGACGGCTATGTATCGAACAAACAGAGGTCACGGGACACAGATCGACGAGGGTAATTTCAAACGCTACGTCCCAACGACATTTTCCGTGAGATTTCCCCTACGGAGCTGTACACTGAAGATGCCACTGAGGGAAGTGGTGAAACGTTTGATCCTAAATAACTCAGCTCGGAGAACGAATCAAAACGTTAACTACCAACCCGAGCTACAGGTATTCCGAATCATTGCAAACCTATATCCTTTATACCAATCGTTCAACTGGCCAAGTGATCAGGCACTTCTCCAGACAGATATCAATGCTGCTTATTCTTGGGCCTCGAAAAATTCGCTCCCGTTTAACATCGACAAGTGCAAAGTCATGCACATTGGGCAAGGTGTGGCTAATCCGTACAATATCGGCGGTGTGCATCTTAAAGCCACATCCCAGGAACGCGACCTGGGGACCATAATATCCGCCGACCTGAGCCCGAGCGCCAATGTAGCTACACCGGCGCGAAAGGCTAGCGTTCGCCTGGCCCTCCTTGGACGTGCACTAGGGTCTTTCCCTAGAGAGACATTTGTCCGTCTCTATAGCACTTTAGTACGTCCGCTGCTGGAGTACAACATACTTGTCCAGCCGCCGTACCTGAAGAAGGACGAGGCCATGCTGGAAACTGTACAGCGCAGAGCCACTAAGAGAGTGGACGGACTATCCCACTTCTCGTATGAGGAGCGTCTGGCGGCTCTTAACCTCTTCCCGTTGAAATATCGCAGGCTTCGTGGCGACCTTATCTTAGCTTATTCCGTCCTGACTAATAACAGACACCCAAGCGCAGGATTGCTGGTCCGCGCCCGTACAGATCATCTTCGAGGGCACTCACTCAAACTGATGACTCGTAGCAGTCGCCTTCTGTGCCGAAGAAACAGTTTCAGTGTGCGTACTGCCTTCGCTTGGAACGCCCTCCCCGAAGCTGTTGTCTCAGCGCCCAATACGGAGGCCTTCAAACAGCGCCTAGACGCTTGGCTCTTACCTCGATGGTCTGCCACGTTGCTAAGATCTGGCCATTTGCCAAGCTAACACGCGGCGCTTCTATCATTTTGCTTCTATCCAACTTTGCCGAATTTACCTACACCACTCTCTTGTTCCAGGTTTCCACGTTCCCACAGTCAACTCGCTGAATTTTCGTGCTGAACACCACTACTGCGTCGAGACCCACAACATCTGGTACCTACCGACGAGATCAGGACCTTGCCGTAAGATCCCGAGGCAGAACCACCGAAAAGCTACGCTTACTCGTTCTGCGCAAACCCGTGAAACCCGTGGAAGTTTCTGTGCCTTCTGCAACAACACCAGCATGCCAGCGACATCATCCGAAGCGCAAAAATCTCGAACTACTCCCTATTCAAGCAATACAATTGTTCTTGCACAATATGCGGCAGGTGAATCCTGGAGATAGCAGGCACCTATAATGAGTGCGTTCTTTTCGTGTGATACTTATCATCACCCACGTGTGCTTATGTGGTCTGCTTGCCATGATTTGAGGACTCTAGAAAACGGAATCGGATGCACTTGGGTAAGGTAAAGTGGTGCCTAAAAATGAACAGTACCCATGATTCCCGGATGGCAACAAAAAGGTGTATCTTCAGCTTTTAACTCCACAAGAAGTAAAGAATAAGTATGATATATGGTGAACTACCACTCTCGCTTGCAAAATAAATAAAGATAAGAAAAGTTTCTTGACAACCATTGAAAGTGGATTGGACAGTATCTGGCATTCACCACAGCCTTTATCACATCCCAGTACCATCAACTGCTATGCTGGTATGGTTAATTTGTGAGCCATGCCACTAAGCCGAAGGTATCGGACAGGCACGAGTTGGATATGCGATGACATCAATCAGACAATCGCGTATGATTTTCTTTTGTATAACAGTTACAATGACACGGTAACTTCAGATCAACCTGATTCACACAAATTAAAGGTTTTGCATGATACGTCGTGCTAACAGACCTACTGACCAGGCAGCACATTTGTGTTTGCTTACGTAGACGTACTCAGAATTTCTTTAGCCAGAGGTCGTCTTAAGATGCGGCAGCTAAGAATGTACTGGTCTACTAATAGAATCTTAAGGAATGGTTAAACGACTAAAATCAATGGATTTCAAAAACAATTGTCACTCGGTTGATTTACCTCTAGGTCCCAGCTCTCCCTTTTGGCCATCCTCACCGGTATCACCCGGCTCACCTTCCTGACCTTGCTGTCCATCTTCTCCACGGTCACCAACGATGAAGATGCCTCCCACACCCGGTTCACCTATATCGCCGTCTGCACCTGAAGCCACAAGAAAAGGGAATGACCATTGCTTCGTTAGAAAAGTATTTCCATTAATGAGGATAGAATTGTTTGAACTGTGGTTGAGTACACTTGTGTGGTCTATTATTTTGGACCAGCGAATCGCAGTCAGTAGCTCAGTCTAACGATCCATGAGACATTGGCACTACATCCACCCATTGGCCATAAACCGTTCCGAAGTTGACAGCGGAGGATATGTAAAAACGGATATAGGCTAGATATTTTCTACGGAAGCCCACAAAAACAGTCGGCATTTTGTGGCCCTCATGAAAGTAGGGTAGGTCGAGGCCAGCTTACTGGTCACATTATTCAATTTCACTTTATGTGCGATTCCGTCCGCTGATCGCATCTAGGGCGGATGCTACAGGCGCGAGTGGCGTCGAGTTGATTCGTGCAAATTTCTGTGATGATGGGGCAGTCAGCTAACATCAAGCGTATCAAGAAGGGGCTAATTAAATATGCATAAGCGTTAATCAAGTGATATCGCGTGATTTGCTGTTAGATGGCACTTTCAATGACACTGCAACCTTAGGTTACTCGGATGTATGTAAGATCGTAGTAAACTGATCACTAGAAGGAACAAGTTCACCGAGACGTGTTTAGAAACCTACAAATTATCGTAGATGGATTTGCAAGGTAGTACTGACAAAACTATTAATCTTGGTGAAGTACACGAGTGGATAATGTTAGCACCTAAAACTTTTCAGACGGTAAGAAATTATAAGGGATTCTGAAGTTCCTTGTGCTTAACATAAGACTCATTTCCACTATTGGCGAGGAAAACTACAGTGCGGAAAATGTCTCCCACTCCAAGTCTGACATATAGTTTTTCAATGCGCTGAACGTATAAATGGCGATGATAACTGAGCGTAGCAACCTGCCAGTCCAGGTTTGCATTAATCACAGGTAACAAAAGAGTAGCATTTAGTCAAAAAATTACCATCGAACTATTCTGATGCATGCATCTTCAACATATTCTTACTTACCTACGTAGCCCTTGGGACCATCTGGCCCACGTGGACCTTGATCACCAGTTTCGCCATCAACACTTGTTCCTGGATTTCCCCTGGGTCCCTCGGGACCTCGAATACCTGCACGAGAAGCGTAAAGATTTGTTGGGACAAACAAACACAGGTCAAGGAAAAGGGAGGTTAAGTAAACCAACGTAGATATCTCAATGTGCTACAGCTTTGTGGCTTAAATTTGGTATGCTAACCTGGTTGTCCCTGATCTCCCTTTGGACCTTGCTCTCCCTGCTGCCCAGGGTCACCAACTTCTGCAGGAAGTGCGCTTCGGCCGATCTCACCTTTTCGACCTCGTTCACCTTTAGCACCCTGTTCGCCTACGTCTCCAGGTTCGCCCTTGAAACCACGATCACCAATCACATCTGAAAAGAAGGGGTGGGCAGTTGTATAGTCGCTTGGGCTAATTCTGCTCTCTGGAAGTGTTGCACTGAATGAGGCACGCGGTGAAATAAAGCCATATTACAGCCTATCTGCAGACCTGTCATTGTTCACCACGTGTTCCGATGCTGCCTTCCGGGCCGTAACCGTAACGTAAAGTATTGTAAACCGCCCACCTAAAAACACGTAGACTTCTCGAGTGGCAATGGAATCCGTCGCAGAAAAGCGATACAGTTAGTTACTAAAGAGAAAGTTGGGCCGACTAAGGCCAGACGACGGTACACATTCAATAAGTTATTAGTTTTGATCACCGAATTAGTTAAATGGAGAGGCGACAATGCATCATTCATTTCTTATCATGATGCTTGTGCCCATTCCATCGCGGATACGTGAGGCACATCCTTATTTTCTGATTGCCCACAGGTGTACAAAAAGTCACGACATAAGGTAGCCGCCGCAGATCTAGTGCTTGATAACAGGGCCAATAGATGCACAACCCAACTCAGCAGGAACCACTGACCGGTGCAGCATTGTTAGTTTTAGCGTTGAGCATGTTCAGTGAAAACCTAGTTTCCGCTAAGTGGTGCATTTCTGGGAGCGTAATGCAGTACATTTGGAAGCTAATTAATGTCTAGTAGAACCATGCCTCTGCGGCCTCACACCTACTCAGCTCCGTAACTAGGTACTCGCACTTTCACAATTTCACGCACACAGTAGACCTACCATGCTTCCTATTCCACCACCATTATGCTGCTGTTTTTAATACGATTTAGCTCGTACGACCAAGTTGGGTGGTACATGCTCTCTAGTCTCAAACATATGGCCTAGCTCCCGAAGGTTCGTCCGTGTGTTTGGTAGCCACAGAGGTCTGGGTACAATGGGTCCCACCTAACTCATCTCAGCTCCCCTGGCACTAACAGGCTGCACTAACAGGCCGCATGTTAGGGAAGTAGCTTCGTAGGTAACCGTCACTGTGGGTTGAGGAGGGGTCTAATCCCCCCGTGGGGTAGTAGCGCGCATTGTATCAACACGGGCTACACTATCGCATCGGAAACGGGCGCTTGGTGTAACTATGAGCATGACGCGGCTACTTCATCGTCCGCTTACACGCGCGCAGTTTATCTCCGTCACGAGTCACATGCATCTCCCGACAAATAGTAGATAGTGATAATCAATGACGACAGAGCCAAACTTGACCCAGAGTTTTGGCTAATTCCCCCCCCCCCCCCCCCAAGTAACGCGGGGACTTAGTATCAGCGCCATGCACAGGAATTGAAACAATGGAACAATAGTATAGTACGGGCCAAGAGAAGCGGATGCTTAACAAGTCCCGTAGGATGGCCAAAATGAGAACCACATGGTGAATAGAAAACAAAAGGACAAAATGAAAATCGTTTTGGTGGATTCACCACAGTGTTAACACAGAGGCGTGCAGAACGAGCCAACCTCAGTTGTGTAGGTTAATTCTGGTTGTGCAGCTTTCGTCGTATTATATCGTTTGTCGAGACACACAGGCTATAACTGGCAATGTTGGTGGGTTAGAGCAACGTCAAGGCGTTTTTTAAGCACAGGTAAAGTGGGGGCGGAAACAACATAATTTGGGATGGCATTCCATGGCTGGCACACAAGAAGAGAGTAAAAGTTCTGTCGATATTCTAGCAGACTGTGTTGCGTGGCTCACTTGAACCGGTGGCACCTCAAATTCTTGTTGTGCCTCAGTTGTAGTAGGTGGCGATATACGTGGTTGGGGTTCCTTAGAATTTGGTAAGCCGCTGCACAGATTACTGTTGTTGTCACTATCACATTTGCCCCAGTGCCACTTGGCACGTATCCGTATTACTTCTATTAATGTACCCAGCTTGCGTTGTGCAGTCACTCCAACTGAATGTCCGCCGTGTTCCATTACCAGCTATTAGGCTGGTCCTATCGTTATGTGGGTCAGAATCCTCTGTGCACTTTGTAGTACGGCTCACTGTTTCATCACATACTTCGTTTCATCGCGCTCACCGATGGCATACCAACCCCTTGCACCCGACATGCTGCTAGCGAGAGAAGCAGAATGCAAGTTTTCAGACTCGTCATTCACAAGTTCGTTTTCACGGGTAAACTGTGAATGGCTACGTAAGAATTCCAAGTGGATTTACCATTAGTTGTGTGGTCTAACCACGATCACTTTACGTGGCCCAACAAAGCTCCTGGCCCAAGAGCGAAATGTTTTCATATTGCAGTTAGATACACAGCTGGCTAATGTTAAAACATCTCCAAACTTAGGATTTCTCAGTCGACTGCGAGGTTTTCGTGATGTTGAACTCTACCTTTGAGTATTAGCTATAGGTGATTAAATTAGCAAATCCGAGAAGTACATAGGTGTGGCCACCGCGGGCTCTTCGTGGGCGCCAAGAGCAGTTGACATAAGCCAAAGTTTATTTGAACTACCTCGCTTACCGACGGTCTAAGGGAAGAATACAGTCGCTTATGGAGCATTTAAAAAGAGCGGAAACGTCCTTATGATATGAGGTTGCACTGAATCGCATAACCCTTACAACGCACAGAGTTAACCACGTACGTGGTCAAAACTGACCTCTGCTTTTGTAGTTAAAGTTCATTTTCAAGCGGTAATAAGTCCAAAGTTAAGTAAAGGAAATCGACATCATAGCCAAACCTGTCATGTTGTAAAAAATGAATTTTTCTGCGTCCAATGTGCAGTTTTTTGTCAGACCCGAGGATCCTTTGGCTCCCTTATCACCGGGAGGTCCTGGTTCACCTTTTTGACCCAGATCACCTAGGAGGGTTGTAATATTTTCCCCTGGAGCTCCTGGAAGCCCGTCATCTCCCATTTCACCGGCTTCGCCCATTGGTCCTTGCTCACCGGGTTCACCCTGAATGGTGTAATAGCCACGCATGGTAATCGATAGTCACAAATCGAGAAAAGCTAAGGTTAAAAGATGACAAAAGATGACAATCGGTGAAGCATTACTGATAAGGATGAACCGTCTAGCATTATTTGCTCAGAAATAACAAGGAATCAATTAGATTGCCATAGACATCAATTTTGTTTTCCTTATCTGTGTTAATTGGTTACCACCTTATATGACTCCGCATGTTTCTGGCTTATATTGCGTTCCGACTGAAGAGAGTAATCGAAATGGTGACATTTCGCAATCTATGTCTCCTCATTGCGCTAATGAAGTGAAAAGTTGTTTGACCTCTTGGGGCAAAAGTGCTTTCATTCAAAAGGCAATGAACCCTACAGTAGTAGGTATGGACACTGTATATTCCTGCTTTGTAAAGCAAACACGTGTGCTTTTGGACAACGACACTTACTTCGTTGTAATCATTCATATATTGTTCACTCTAAGTTCGCTGCAAAGCACCAAGCCCTCGTTAGGTATATTGTTGCAGCCTACCAAATGGGTACATACTGCCTAGCTTGACACATGCATGGATGAATAACAACTAGTTGAGCCAGTTTTAGCCCTTTTATTTCGTCTGGGCCATGCTTATACGCACTGGCATTTCGATTGAATTCACGAGCGCGAGTTATTCATTTACTAGCTGCCAGCTGATCAATAAGAGCAGGTACGTGGGGGATGTATATTTGTGACTCAAGCAATGGAGCTCTAGTGACAGGCTACATATCTTTATAGTCCAGTTAAGTACTAAAGAATGATTGATAATAAGTTACAGTGGAACTCACATCGGGTCCCTGTCGCCCTTTGTCGCCCTCTCCGCCTGGGACACCCACGTCTCCACGTTCACCCAAGTCACCAATTGTTCCCATTGGGCCTTCGTCACCTGGGTCTCCGGGCACAATCGACTCCACTGCCGTTGTGACCACTGCAGGCTCACCTGGATCGCCTCGTTCACCTGGATAACCACGCTCTCCTGAGATACCCTGCATAAATGTGTTCAGTTATTATATCAACAGCTGAACTGGCTCCTTTTATAGTGTCAATAAATTAGTTGTGTGTGGAACTGGCTTTTAAGTGTACTAAATATATGGTGTAGGACAGCTGTTGCTTCATACAGATTGGGTGCTCATACATTCCAATATATTGACGGACGATCGACCTTGTCAGACGTTAAACTATCATGGAAACAGTCTGCATAGACAACTGTGGTCGTTGAGCCCCGAGTATTGGGTGAATCACGCTGATTTTGCTCCATCGTTTGATCGCTGTGAATCATCTCGCAACCTTAGTGCACCTACAGACGAGTCGATTAACTGGTCATCGTAAATACAATACCCCAGACCCTGGCCAAACCTTTTGCTTGGATGTCTCACATAATGGTCCCGGAAGCGGAGATGATGAATCTATGCACTTGTCATATAAATATTAACCAAGATTTTATTTGTGACTTAGCGACGGTTATCAGCTGAGATATTAATTACTTGACGAAACAGACACTGTCAACTTGAGTGACATCCTTCGTCACCTCCACCAAAGTACAAAGTGATCCCTGCCAGACAAGGACAAACATCGTTCTTTAGAAGCCCTTCAAAGACAGATAGTTGATACAGTGTCGCCGTGTGTATCGTCATACAAGGAACAATGTCCGTGGATGCGGTGCTACCATTCGATGTCTAGTTAAGCAACGATGGGGCGACAAGTGGCTCACAGTGGTTAGATTTGTCTCGTGTATCGAAAAAACACCAATAAATGGTAGCTCACACGTGGAGGTACCTCACATTCGGCAAGCTGACATCGCAATCACCGGGAAAGACCGGTCGAACAATTCGATTATTAATAATGGTAACACACCGTGACAAAATGTCTGCTGCAAAGAGACCAGCATTCGTATTTATATAATTGGAATGTGCTGAGTTCAGATTTGACATTCGTTTTTCCCTGCAAGCTGCAATAATTTTTGAATTTGTCTACAATGCTTTTTGCAAGAGTCCAAAGGGTTCACAATGATGGTTGGTGATCCGATATATATATATATATATATATATATATATATATATGCCTCTTGCTTAAACTCCAAGCCAGATGTATAGCAAGCCATAATCGGATAATAGTTTGCGGTTGTACCGCTTTCATCGGCATATTTTTTGTTGACCTAACCATGGCCAGCCATCAGGTGTTGTCCAATTGTCTCTGCAAACTTTCTTCCATCGTCATCAAACATTGATAGAAACCTTCCCCTTGTTCGTCACTTCCTGCCCCAATTTCTACCGGGAATTGATCAAGAGCATTCTACAAGAAATGAAAACGTTCATATGGTACGCACGATCGCGAATGCTAACACCATTCTGTTAACCTCATACTCAGTATTATCTGATTTTTTGTCCCGAAGAACATTTCGCATAACTGCCATAAATGACTGCCACGCATTCCTCTCCCTGTTATTCGTGTTTGAGACGAATACTTCATCACTCATTAGAGCTGTAATTTGAGGCCTGTCAATAAACACCAGCTTTAGTCTTCAGCAAAGACAGACGTGAAAGCAGCAATTATCCACCAAAAACATTCACTATCAGTAGTCAAAGCTCTCATAATATGTATAATCATAATAATAGTTATAATAAGGTATCATTAAGCCGCTCAAACACAGTGGAGGAAAGATGGTTTTCTATCTGTTGACAATTAGATCAATTCCAATGTTGAACCTGTCATCCTCTAGTGTTTCACGCTTTGAACTCTCCATGTCCAATGTTTAGCATTAGACTGTTCCACGTACAAACCTTACATGGGAAATTTGTGTAGCAAGTACGCTGACCAAAATGGGCATTCGCAGTCTTCAGAGCAACATGAATGACCCAGTTGGGTTCATGCTAATCAATTAGGTTAATAAGTAAATTTACGTCATTGTGTTTTCTCAACTGCGTTGAGTAACCCACTGGAACTGCCTCATATACATTACTACTATGCAATAGAACACGTTTGTGACACCTTGGAGCTATCCACAAATATTATCTTCTCTGGTGAATCAGATGAGACAATCCCCGAATGCAATAGGAGGTCTGAAATATTGTGTCAAAAATCAAACTACTTGTCGTTTGAAAAACGCCAGGAAACTCTCTTCACGTTTTCGGAAGAAGTGAGTTCTTGCTGTGCATTTAAGCAGATTATTTTCTCGTAGGCTGGAGTGCCCCAACTAACGCACTAAGTCATTCAATTCTTACTGATCGAATTGCTGGAGAATGGTAAAAGTTCGGCATCAGTTGCGGAGTCTTCAAAGTTGAAGCCGATTCACTTAACTGAGTCCCAGCTTCATGCTCACTGACATAACCATTTTATGAAGCAAAACCAATACATTTTGGAACCGGAATCTCTTCAGAGTGTGGAATGGTTCTAACTACAGAGAGAATACTGGGCTAGGAGATCTTATGCCGGTGTTGCATGCATTAACCGTGCAAAAATAGCAGCTTGCGGTTTGTCTCATAGGTTCCAGTTAAACCATGAGAAATGCAAATGGCGGACCTTTGCCTTTGCTTTTGTCCAGTCACGAAGCATTGTCTCACAATAATGACACACAGTGGGAGGTGTCCATCTTTTGTCTTGGCCACAAAGGAGCATTTCAAGTTTTGCCTTATAGACAACTTTTACAAGTGACCTAATAGTTCGCTCTTGACAAAATGAAACAGCGGCCGCACAAATGGTAAAAGTAATAGATTCATTTGCACGGTTATATCTATCACAGTGAGCCATGCTTATATCCACTTTTCTGTATAGGTGAAATATCACATTGTTTGAAAAGTAGAGCGCGCAAACGAATAAACGGACTTCAGATTTAAAAAGCAGCATTAGTATTTCATTTAGAAGCAGTCTAAAACTTTCGTGCAGCAGAAAGCGGAAAATATTTTATTGCCCTACAAAATAGCAGTAGTGCACTAGGACCTCGAAGTAAACGTGACTTGGGTTGGTTTACTTAGGGAATCATTTCATTCTTAGGCCTTCTGCTGGATCACCTATAATGAGCTCTCTCAAATCCCACATGTCATCACGCCACTAGCCTTAGCATGCACACTGGGCTACAATTGTGTAATCGGAACAAGCCGGAGTTTACAAATAGAGCACTTCTAAGGTTTGTCTGAAGAGGATAACGAACGTACCTCCCTTGAATCAGTATCATGAACATCTCGTCCATGAGTATATACGGATCCATTATCGAAAAGAAATAGCGTATATTTTCGTTTAAACAAGTAGCCCTGTCGTTCCCTTTTGAAAATGCTGCTAACAACGGCGCGCACCGAGTGGGGCAAAACTGTGTTGTGAAACTTAATGGAGTCCGTAACGCAGTCAGTTTACATTTATTGTTGTTTTTAAAGGTATAGTCCGCAGTATGCTGCAGTTATGGTTATTTTACTGATCTACTCCCAGTTCTGAGTTTATATCAGCCGACATTTGGCCAGTCGCTTGATCAAACCAATCAGGGTGTATCTTCGAAGTTGCCTCCACAACTAGATGTCCAGCGTAATTACAGACACCTTCAGAAAAGTACATAAAAAGGTAACAATTAGAAGATGACTCTGGCTACAATTATTTTGCACGGTGAGGCGGACGGAGGGGATGGACGATGTCAAAGTGAACCAAACTCTCACAACTCGGGTGAAGCTACCGACTGATGTATCCTGACAACGTACTCAAAGGGTTAGTTTTCGCACCCGCTCCAACGGATCCACTGCGTGACAAAGCCTGAAACTGCACAAAATTCCCTGATTAATCTAAAGTAAATCAAATAATACTAAGCTTATCGAGTTTTCTTTTTTGTGAGGCGAACTACGTTTACTCCTTGTTGCGTTCTCGGTGGAGCTGGGTACATACCCGTATGGTGAAAACGTGAGGTATTCGAATCCCAGTGAGCAGCTGAAAACATGTACGATTCCATCGCACTTGCCTATTTCCAGTTGGTCACTAAGGAATGAGTAGATCCAAGTACTCTTCAATTTTACTGTATAGGCGAGCTTCGGTACAACCTTGGTAATATACTACTCTGTGCCAAGATGTACCTTCGCATTTTCGGATCCAGCTTTGATGGATTTTCTTGCGCCTAGAAAAGCCACTACGTTCTTTACTTATACTTGCTCACGGTTGGTAGCATTTTTTCATCCCATAAGAATCGGAGATTCTGGGGAAATACCTTTTGCCCTTTGGGACCGGTTGGTCCAATTGTGCCGTCCTCTCCCATGCGACCGTCGTCGCCCTTGTCCCCTGGGCGTCCCGCGACACCTTTCCAACCTTGTGGGCCCGGTCTCCCAGAATCACCACGAGGACCATCCTCCCCGTTAGGGCAGTGTGGACAAGTGCTAAGTGGTTGGCCTGAAATAAGGGACAGAGAAGGGAAACGAGGTAATGTGCAATGCGCTGTCCATAAGCATGTGCAAATGTGTTTATTCAGATCTTGACGGCAAACATCATTTCTTTCTGTGGAGTGTATAAGAGAGATGGGATGGAGTGATTGGTGTTGTGAACTAACAGCGCACTGTATTCACTCGGCTTTACTGTACAAACCGTCTTAGCATTCGGCGAGGACAAGAAGTAAAGCATATTAGAAGTGGGAAATGAATCATCAGTGGGTGAAATATGCGACATTACAAAACAATGTCTGAGTAATCTAACAGTTTTGCGGCAAGATCGCGGTGACAGGTGACAACTTACCCTTTTGTCCAGGTTCCCCAGGGAGTCCGTCAAGTCCCAGCGATCCGGGATCACCAGGATCACCAGGGTATCCTCGAGGGCCTATTTCTCCAATAGCAAACTGCCCGCTAAATCCTTTTTCACCAGGGTCACCTGACTCTCCTTGATCTCCTTCAAGCATGCAAAACAGGTTGTAAAGAAGGATTGTTGCTGTGCAGCAAGATATGTTCCAAGTATTACTTTATCTAGTGAGAGGAGATGCTTCACACCTCGCCCAATAAAGTACATCGTGCACACTACAACATAAGGATCACCAAATGGATTTGGCACAACCTAATGCGAAACTACGGAGAGGTAGATGTTGAGTGCTAATCTTGTCATGGTACGAACGCAAGATTACATGATAGGTTGTAAGTTACCAAACCAGGCCAGGTGAGTGGGACTGAACAGCCTAAAAGGCCGAGATATTCCATTTCCTCACTGAATGTCTTTCATATATGTTATGGATAGTCGCAAAACAACAAATAGTATCCCGGATTGGGTAAAACTGCAAATACTGAACATCTTCATTTCTTAGGAATATCAGTCGGTCGGCAACGGATCAATCATGCTTCTGAATTAACAGTAGGGGAATTCAGTTTTAGTTTACTTATGGAGTAACACCACAGTTAGACAGAGGTATATTCTGAGCTCCACCAGTTGTCGTAAGGGCTTACTATGGATGCTTTGCCCCTGTGAATTTGCTCAATTCTTGTAATGATAGCCCCTCGTCTAAAATCAAATTGTGTTGCGACAACTATTAAAAGGAAAGTGACAACCAACCGAAGTGACAAATCGTATGAAGGGTTCGCCATCTCGGACAGCAACAGCAACAACAGCAAATCTAGCTTTGACTCTATCACCATGCCAAAGTCTACTACAGGAAACATTGACTTAGGCTTCAGATACCGGAGTACGACTACTCATTTAGGCACACATTTTCCACCGTCTGCGTCCAAGCACAATGTATGGAAAGGTAACACTGACAGATGCAGTGCGGTTCTCCAAGTCCAACTTTGAATTCCTTTCCGCTGTACCGAGCGTTGCTAGCGGATCTCGGTGATGTAGTGTTTATGGCGTCAGCTGTGAACCATTAATTTCTGAGATTCACCCCAGCTCAGGCTACCTCCACCTGATGAGTCCAAACCAGGACGAAAACGCGGTTGTGAGGTGCCACTGTTGTGAGGTGCAACACCAAACTATTTCCACTGACAGATGCTTTTGACATAAAGGACTATTCTGTTGAAGTAATCAGCCAGAATTAGCAATATCTTGTGCAACTTTTTTCACGTAACCTATAGACAAAATTTTTCTGCCAGAACATTTTCATCATACTTGGTTTGCCATTTTATGGGCACTTGATTTTGACGCCTATGTGTACTGAATGGGCAGTAGACTTGGGATTATTTTAGGAAAGAACCGACAGAGGGGATAATTTCCATACTAGTCAACACCTACCTTTCTTTCCACGGAACCCTTCCACTCCGACGGGACCAACTTCTCCCATTTCTCCATATCCGTCGTCTCCATCAGGACCACGCGGTCCCGGCTTTCCCACTTCGCCATCCAACCCCGGATAACCAGTCTCGCCACATAAGCCTGTGATCGGACAAGAGAGACAAAAGGGTAACCACGAAATGCAGGCAACCAGTGTCTCATCACTGTCCCGGCATGTGTTTCTATCGCATGATTAATTGGGTCCTTATCCACCGCAATAACAGCTGTACGCAGCAGCTGTCTAGCAGAATTCCGAGTATTCATGATCGAACGCGCTCCCATCGCACTTGTGTATTTAGGTTTACTACTCATGAGTAAGCAAAAATATCAACGAACATGCCATACATTTTGCACCGCGCTCCAAATGGATTGTCAAAAATCTGCGTTTGATGCGTGATTTAGGGTTACGCACCAACGCGCTCAAGGTCTGTCAAGTTATTACCTGGGTCACTCAAAGGGGAAACCCTGGGTAACAGTGGTTTGCGGTAACCGGTGTGATGAAAGTGACAGCTAAAAGTGGTAAACAATGGATGATTATTCTTCTATTGAAGTCCAATGTAGATAAAGCCGATGTTGTTTTATCGCGTCTGTTGATCACACGTCGAGATGAGCAAGGTACTGTTAGTTACCGAGACAGAATTAGCATCAACATGTGTCGGATATTTATCAACGCTCAGAGGCAGTCTTACCAGGGTCACCTTTGATGCCTGGCGGGCCTGGTGGCCCAGGTTCGCATGGTTTACCAGGATAGCCTTGTACTCCCTTGTGTCCTTCCGCGCCAGGAAGACCTTTTTCACCTGCTTTTCCTTGTTTACCGAAAGTTCCAATTTCGCCTTTTTCACCCGGATATCCTGGTTCACCTTTCATACCTTTCGGCCTACTGGTAATAGGACACGTAGCTTCCTGTGTGATAACAGAGATGAGAGCACAGATAAAATTTTGAATAAGAATTAGTTTATTCAAGCACTTTAATCAAGAATTCAGATTCGCCAAGCATCAAAGGTGGAAAGGATAACAAACAGGACAGTGTTGAACTCAATGCCGAGTACTTACTCCAGGTGGGCCAGCCTTCCCTTGAGGTCCAGGCTGGCCATCTCTTCCAAATAATCCACGATCTCCTTTTTCTCCGAGACCACCTTCTGGGCCTCGAGGACCATCGACACCGGAGACACCCTGCACTCATAAAGGTTAAACGGACAAACAATAACAGCCATCGTATCACGTTTCGGTCGTACTGTGACACACTACTGACGGTCTAAATGATACCGGTGTGATTAGCGTGGGTTACTACCAAAGAACCATCGTTTTCAGTTTATGTGAATAGAATACAGCGAGGAAGCGCAGAGAAGCGACCGAAGTGTTTTAGACTGAGGTAGTACTACCTGTAACCAGTACTGAAATGGCCGTTTTACCGAGATTTATATACATGGGTACCTTTCTGACATATGAACAGATGTTTATCGCGGATCGATAAGTTAGCTTACTTCAGAATCTCTCCGTCTCATATAAACCTCATCGCACCGACTCTACCGTTGTAGTTTATTCGTAGTATTGAGTTGCATAACTTTATTCGAGACCATGCGTTACTTTGAATATGTTTATTATCAGTATTGTATTGGCAACTCTGTTCCTTTCCCTACGCCTAGGTGATCACGCATCCCACAAAATAACACATGCTGCTCTAACTTATTCGCGGACTTTTTGTGATTGCACAGTGTTAGATTCATGGTTTCTCAATGGATATTCGCAGTCACTTTTGTCCGATGCCGCGGTACCCTGATGTAGTCCTAATAAGCATGCTAGCGAAAGTTTACTTGGCAGTGCAAATTATTAGCACGCGTTGCGTTCCAAGCGCGATTCTTGACCCATTCAACTCAGAAACGTTAAAGTGCATCGAAATGTGACCCATATCGCTATGAAGAATGCTGGCAAAACGAATAGGATTTTGAAAAGCATCGCTAGAGGCCAGCTACACTAAGCCATCCGGAAAGTAGGATTATGAGCCAACCGGCAATTTATTCACGCTAGGTTTAGAAACGGGGACAAGAACCTTAATGGTCAGAAGATAGTCACCACCTTGAAGGTATTGTCACTGGTGACGGCACAATCAGTCTATCTTGGCTATGTTTATCCATCATTCCCCTTAAACCAACTGATTATGCAGGGAAGTTTTTGCTAACCTACATCAAATTCTTCCATGTTGAATCTCAGTGCAATTTGAACATTTCAGTAGAACTTCCGTATTTATTGAAGACAAACGCGTACCGTACTTTCGTGGCTACTTCCTCAACAGTGGTCTGGAACATTAGCGATTAACATGATGGCTGGGTTCACATGCCAGCCGCATTTTTATGGGCAAAAGAACGACTATTTAAGGAAGAGTAGCATGTCTGCACTAACTGAACTAATCACATTGTCCTACTGTGTGTGAAGACATCGACAGGCAGGAATAACTTCTATTTGTGCCCATTCATTAAAAGGTTTCTTAGGCCAGGATGGCAAGAAGTTAACAAGGGAACTATTTTGTTTGAGAATATGGGAGGTGTGGTGATTGCACAAAGGGATCAACAGGTGATTCTACACAATGTCATAGAGTGAATTCGAAAGTAAACTCATAGTTAGTTTTGATGCACCATTTAATGCTGAATGTAACCAGGTCGCTCATTAATAAAATGGATCCACATACCTTACTGCGTTTGTTTATGTGCAATATTTTGCTAGGTTCACGACCAATGAAATTTGTTTTTATGAGGAAAACTAGAAAACGAAAAAGCGAGTGCCTGACATGTGAGAACCCCGACGAATTCGTGGGGCGATTCCAACAATTACAATGGAAAAACCTCGTCTAAAAGGCACGCTCTTGTTTCGTGAACCTACCGGTTCTCCAGGTTCGCCGACATCACCGACGTCTCCTGGATCCCCCTGTACGACAAAAAACAACAACAAAAGTATAGGTGTCTTTACGAGTAATGGAGCTCTAGTGGAGAAAGTTTCCTCCTTTATGTAAAGAAGACCACAATATTATTATCTAGTTATAGAAACAAAACATTATCGCTACCCCATCCGATTGTTGCAGCAGTGCGATTGTCTGCAGCAGTGTCGGTATCGGAATCACTTGCCACATGAATTGCATTGTATTTTCGCAAAGGCTTAGAGGTTGTTTACGGATGATTTCCCTTACATGATATGTCAGTTAAAAACAATGGAACACTACTTTCTGACGGGCAAAGAAATGTTGGTATAACATGTTCATTGGTTGATAATGGAAGGGATTGCACATCTGGAGGTTTCACAAGCAGACAAAATAAAACGGACTAGGTGAAGCGATGGGGTAACGGCATATTCGAAGTAGGTTAGTGGGGAATGGACAGCATCATTCAAAACGGAGTAGTAATGTTTTTGCGTTTAATGCACATTGTAATATAACCATTTGGTTGCTCACCCGCCTTCATCAAAGTACATGCGTCAATGGGAATCATAATTCCAAGAAGCTAGTTATCCGGAATACATTCCAGAGTATCCGTTCTTATAACAAAGCGTAGGGAGCTGAGGACGATATCGAAGCGCTGTTTGAAAATGCCTAATATGGGAGTACAGACAGGTGAGTTTAGAGGGTCTTTCCAGCGTTGGTAAACTCGAAGGCAGTAGTAATTTCATTTACAAGCTGGGCCAAGGTATAGTTAGTTTCAGGCTACTGCGCCTCAGGTTCGCATTTGGGCTTCGTTTCTGGGGTTGATCGTAAGCCTGACTGAAATTGTCAGTATTTGATGCATTACTATGGGGTCTCCGGGTAGGCGTTGATATCGTCCAACGAACACTCAAAGTTTCTTCAGTTGTTCCTGGTACGGAAGGTGGAGCCAACTCTTGATATATCTTGTTGCTTGATGTTGTGAAGTCTCGAGCATGACGAGGTCATCCAATAGCCAAGGCAGCCAGGCCTGAATAGAACAACTGACGCAGGGACGCGCTAGGCACTGAGCACCAGAGAAGGGATGGATGAGTCCAAACCTTCTAGTGGCGTACTCAGAAGAGCAGCGAACAGGTCACCACTTTTGAAGCGGACTCATACTGTCTGAAACGTCTCGGTCTTCCTGTACGAGTACATGAGGTCACGTTCGGAGAGGTCGTCTGCAGACCGTACGTCCTATGCCTGTAGAGGTAGCTATATCGGTGGCGGATGGGAACAAATCCGCACACTGAATGGCTGGCTTTCCTCACCGACCGGTTTCAAGTCTCATCGAGTTCGTGCTGGAGGATCTCGTGCCTGCCTAATCACTTGATCGCACGACAAATCTCAACATCATCCTCGAAGAGTAAAAATTTTAAGGTGATAGTTCTCGCTAAATTGTTAATGAAGGCTAGGAACAGGCGAGACTCAAATACCGAACCTTGCGGTAAGTCGCACACCACTCGAAATGACTCAGACAAACATCTTAGAACTCTAAACAATTACTGTTCGCGGAGGCAGTTACCGATGTATACAAATATTGGATCTCCGATACCACTTTTCTGAAGCTTCGGAACTTGGACATGATGATCCAATCGATCGCTTTTTGAAAATTCCAAGTAGATGACATTGGTTTCTGTCCTCTCATCAACTGCTTTGGTTCCATTTTCTTGTGCTATCAGTAGGTTTGTGATACGAGATCGATTTTGATGAAACCAATGCTGCTCCAGCGCTATGATAAAGTAACTTTCCAGGCAGCCCGTAAGTGCGTCCGCAATGCTCGTTTCCATCACTTTGGGGAGCACAGGGAGAAACGTTACTGGGCGGTAACTGGTAGGCTCAGATAGATTTCCTCCCTTGTGAACAAGAGTGACAATACGCCATTTTTACTTTGACGGCCCTGTGTCCTGGTCTAGACAACGCCGAAAAAATTAACCAAATAGTTCGACTAGGTTCATGGTGGCTTCCTGCAATACTTTCAGGTGAATTTTGTCCGCCCTAGGAGAGTAGTGTGTGCACAAAGATGGCAGCTTTCTCAGCACCGATTCTGAAACGAATGTGACTAAAAAATTTCGTTGGCGGAGTAAGAGAAACAGGGACTGCGTGCGGTCCTTTCATTCCTTGAAAAGTAGATGAGTAAGGTCTTGGCCGCCTCGCGCGTTCGCTGTATTTGTATACCTATCAACCCTAGTGAATCTGGAGATGCCGGGCAGCAATTTACAGAGACTAATGAGGTGTCTATAGCGAAGCTTGTGATTCGAAAAGAACCGTGCCGCCAGCTCCTGTTGGTGTGTCAAATTGTCTTCGTGAACCAACTGCACTATTAGTTGCGTTTGGTTACATGCGCTATCCAACTTGGTGCGCTAGGAGTGCTTTTGTAAACTCGTCATGTCCGATCCTTCAGGGTCATATGCGTGCTTCTTCTGACTCTCAGAAGATGGGAAAATGGGATGATGCGCTGGATGAATAGTACAGCGGCTTCGAGTGTGTTCCGTATGGGTTGCCAATCGTTAGAGAGTAACAAGGGAATTTCTAGCATATTTTGAGAAGATTCGTGGAAAGGAGACTCAGTCAGACAGTTACCGCACATCCAGGAAAGCATTAGACGAACATTTCGTTCCTTTGGGACCCATCAGTAGTGAGCATCCGCTGGTTCCCGCTGGATCCGAGCCCATGACTTCACTCTTGCTAGTTAGCGGCAAGGCTACCGAGCAACGGTTGATAGTGGAGGACCGCCAACGTAAATTAGTAGCTTCAGTATAACGCAGCTTATCCTCCGCTGTCATGTATGGTATGAAAGTGCAAAGTGCATGGTTGGCCTCCAGAAGTATCTTTGTAAGCCGTCAACAATCGAGGTAACAAGCGAGCTGCCTAGAGTAGTAAGGGTTTCTACTGCATATTTTGATAAGGTTCGTCGCCTGCCTGACTGGGTCTTAATTAATGGGACAAATTTCTTCAAAATAGGCTGAAAATTATTTATGAGGCTAGTAACGCGCACATTATTTTCATTGGTGATAGGCCGAAATGGAATTACCTAGTGGAAAGAAGCATGATTTAATCATTGACAAGCGTGCTACCCCTGTCTTCTCATGAAATATTGGCCATATCCCGGAGACCCCCAGTGGTGGTTACTAATGCGGACCAAACCAAACAAATGGCTTATAATCTATTTGAGGGAGGTAGGTGGGCGTTGTGTGAAGTTACCCACCTAAGAACGTTAGACATAAAGGTAGAGCAGAAATTCAGTAGCCTTGTCCCATTCAAAGGAAAAGCACTACTTTAAGCTACTTATCAGCATAGTATTCATAAAAGGAGGCTATGTTTATAGGTAAAATTTGACCATCTCAGTTTTAGCGACATAGCTCGCTTGTACTTCAGAGTGAGGAATTGTGATCCAACAGCTTATATTGATAGTTACGGCCTTACTGTTGCTGATATAATGCAGCTGGTTTCGGATCTTCCGGTTCTGGCTGACCAAAGTCACTGAGAACCCAGATCACTGTCGCTGGTTAACACAAAACGATTGAAATAACCGACTGTTAATAACCTGAATGGTTGCAAGTGTACAGAACCGTAGGTTTTTGCTCAGAGGCAAAGCGATGCTTGGAATATCCAAATATCAACGGAGTAAGACAAAACACAACTGGCGATAATCCCCGGTAACAAGTTGATGTGGTGGGTGAGGGAAGTGCGCATTGAGGCACTTGGACCGATGCCGCGTCGTTTGACCGACGTGTCTGTTATACCACAGTTGCACTGGAACAGCATTCCAAGGGTCGGTGTGATCGAGTTAAAGAAATTCGCAGCAGCGGTAGGAGGCGATTCAGGTGAGCTAGGAACATCCGGCTAGAACTTACAATCTGCGAAAGTACTTCCCTCGAATGTTGAATCGCCACTTTTCGAAAGGTTTGCAACATAGCATACAAAAAGTGTCGGTCTCTGAATATCGCGAAGTGGATAAGTGAGAAACGAGTGCCACAAGCATGAATTTGATGATAAATAGTGGCACGTATTTCTTCCAACACTAATCAATTTTTGTGGTATCCGGAAGGCGGTTATAATTTGGGCGAAGGCAGTGCATTTGGCCCACCAACACAAAAATCTTATTACAAACTTTTATGCACAACAGTACTCATTCACCTGAATTCCTTCCGCACCTTGATTGCCCTTCTCTCCTTTGGGACCCATTTCCCCTGGAAATCCCTGGAACGGGAACAGGTAGTTGCAACGCACACAGAAGATTCAGCAGTGTCGGAAATGAGATGAGCAACTCAGGCGATCGAAGCTTGGTGGTGAGCGACGTACAATTATCAAACCTTAATATTTTTTGGCATAGTGTAGAAATCGAATAGTACGCCATCCTGATGGTACCTAAAGATTCCATTTTGTACTATCAAGTTCAGCAACAAACTAGTCTGTTTCAACAAGAACTTGTAATTCATGGTTCATTGCTCATTCAGTATGAATTAGTCCTGAAATATGAGCCCTCAAGACAAGGTACACAGTCTCAAAGCAAAAACATTACCAACTCAATGTTTGCAACTATGTGGCCTCTTTCATTGAGACTTTCTATTCCATGGCGTATAAAAACGATGAGGAAGAACTCTGTCAACTGACGTAGGACGTACCCGTTCACCTGGTTCTCCGGGAGCACCTTGGTCACCCTTTGTTCCTGGGCCACCCTGAAAACAAACGGGACAGGACGAGGATATGCAAATAGATTCATCTCGCATACCGTTCTTAAGCAACACTTACTAGTTATACCCAACATTTCCAGTGCCTACCCATTTAAATGAAGTTGCCGCGAATTCGCATGGCATGCACACTTCCAATGTACTCTCAGCCACTCCCCAATTGTTCCATGCACATCGAGAGAATACACTATTGTGACAGCTGGACAATGTCAGCATTGCGAGTGCACCACCCACATAGATATGAATGCGCTATGGCGTGAATCTATATTTGACTGCACATATGCCTCTTGTCTAACAATACCACCAGATGACGATACTTATTAAAGTATGGTATGCATGTCATAAAAATGAGCGTAATATATTATAAGAGCAAACCACCAAGTAACCCTAAACTTTGCACATCTCTTGAGCAAGCTGGGTACTAAAAGATGTCAGTAATGCGCCATGCCCACGAAAAACATTGAAGGTACAATTTTATCAAACCTCGTGATTACTGTTACATTAATGCGGTTATGCCTCCTGTCAGTTTAAGTACTTACCGGTTCACCTGCCGGTCCCCTAGTAATCCGGGCCAGCTCTTCTGTGGTGTGACGAATCATTTCGTCTGTACAAGGGAAACCTGAAGTCCCGACCACGCCAGGAGGGCCCCTTTCTCCTTTGATTATCAGGGTGTACCTGTAAATGCCAGGTGAACCTGGTGGACCGAAATCCCCTGGGATTCCAGGAGTTCCCTGAAAACAAATCAGACTTTAAGTAGCATAAAGAAGATAGGGAAAACCTACACTCTGGACAAAGACCTTGGCGTTTGAAGTAATTCGTGGTTTATACCTCACCCAAGTATTTTACTGCGGAATTAAATCAATGTTTTGATGTATTTGTATTACGTTAAGTATAGATAAACCTGTGATAACGGGTAGTCGACGAGGACGGCTTTCATAACCAAATATAACCCATCCTCCAATATGTATGACGGTATGAAGAATGGAAATGAGTACAGAAATATGTTTCTAAGATGCAGGGTTACAGATTTCAAAATCATCCGATGTCAGATGCATGTTCAACATCAGTGCGACCAAAAGGTATTGGAACGTTGCCATTGAAATATATGAGCACTTACCTGCTCACCGTCCAATCCTCTGTTTCCAGGTACGCCAGGTTCACCCTTAAAGCCAGGGTCACCCTTGAAATAGAATGACAAGAGGTCGCATTAAAAGAATTCTCTACTTTAGTATATACAATAAAATTACCACTGTCTGCAATGGAATTTTGTGTTTAGTTTCAAAAGTGTGCAGTAATTCCCAAATAATAACCGTGTGGCTCCCACATTGCAGAATCAACTCGAGTTGCGTGCCAACACACATAAAGGATGACGAGTTGGTTAGGCAGATAACAATCGGATAGACGAACAGTTTGGTTATAGGCCATCGCATAAGTGGTGTTGCAAATATTTTTAAAATCAACGTGTGGTCCTCTAAAATGAAACCAGACTACACGGCACACTTGCCAGGTGTTGGCCGAAATTTGCCATTACGTATCCACATTATCAGAATAAGGAACAAACACATTGCCGAGAAACGGACTATTTGTGTGTGCTTATGCGCTATCACCTGGGGTGTTCACATTCACAAATGACAAGTCATTTGGGTGCAGCTTCTTTGGAGCATGGATAAGCTTCAATGACCACAGGTTATACCTACGGTTGCAGAGAGCACAAATAGCGTTAAATACTGCCAACACAACAGAAGCGTCTTTGGTCCTATCCCATCACAAGGGGCCGCGTACAACAGTGTCCAGAGTGTATGAATCCGCTGTATTCCCTTGGGATCCAATGGTTTTGACCGTGGCACCGAATTTGGGGAAAGTATCGATTATCCAGCACCTGTGTGGTACTCAACTAAGGAGCTCAGCTGCCCCGAAAAGATGTGTGCAACAGAGTGCTAACAATCTGAGCCAATATTTGTCATAAAACTTTAAAAAGCGAATACAGTCCTTGACATAGATCATGTGTGGGGACCAAGATATGATTTGGGGCATTCTTTCGGACAATCTAAGTTGTAACGTGCAAGCTGTGGCAAAACATCTAACAACCGGTAAGTTAGTTAGAAACGTAGGATGTGATCCATTCAACGACTCGCCGTGAGATTAAGGGAAAATTAACCGTCTTGATCAGGTCAGTCATCCCAATGTCATTTATCGTTCAGTCCGTCACGGTACCAAGTTGTGCAAAATACTGTTAGCTGCTTAAACGTTAAGCTTCGAACACCTGTTTCTGACGGTCGGATTCGAAGACCAACTTAGGGGTGGTAGTAAACCCACAAGAACACTAGGCCTCACAGAAAGCTCATAACAAGCAGCTCCTGCTAAGTATTAGGTTAATGTACAAACTTGTGACGGTCTCCCTCACTGCTGAGATTAACGGTGTCGGGCACCAATGAGGAAGAACATTAAAAACCCGTGCTTCCGTGCCTTTACTATTAGCACATCTATTTCGATATGCTGATTTCTAAAATTCGGCTTAACTTACTTGAAATCCAGGCTCTCCCTGTGGACCGACTTCACCCTAAAAGATAACAAGTACATGACAAATGTCCGCTGCTAAAGGGTGGAAACACATTGCAGTTTATGCAGTCCAGTTTATATCCAACAAAGTTATTCACACGGTTGGTCAAAGGATAGTATGATATCAGTCCATATTTCAAGGCGAATGCATCACTCATGACGAAGTTGTGGAAAAGTGGGCTGCACACAATAGTCCTCTTTGTTGGATAAGGGGACTGCGTAAGAAGTAGCCATAAAAACGACATCACAATACCTGTTGTTCGCTTTCGGTAGTATAATTCATGACATAGCCATGTATCAAAGCATTTTCTCTACCTTATAATCGGATCACGAAAATATGTTTCTTCAAGCTATCATTCATACGGTCACCACTACATAGAGAGATGAACTAGGTATTTACACCACCCTGTTTGTGGCCAAATACAAAACCATATTTCTATGTTTTCACGGACAGAATAGACTAGCGGCAGTCCCTTAGCTGCAGGCTACTATTGGCAGGAATTTGGATGTCGTGAGATCACCACTGGCACTTAAACTACAGTTATTCACCCTTGCGCATTATAAGGAGGAACGGTTATGCCTATGATTCCGTACATGATATCCGAGTATTCTAATCGTAATTTTTTTATTTGAGTCGTCTGAGCCCAACAAATCCATAATGTTGTTTTCTGTGTACCTGGCCTCCAGTGTGGAAGAAGCAACACAGTTCTAGTTCACTCTTCTACGCACGTAAATGCTACAGGCATCAAGGTTCACTGGGAAAGAGTGCAAGTATGAGCCCGAAGCGAGATGAGTACAGTTGTAGTGGACAAATTACCTTTTCACCTGCCAATCCTTCCCTCGACCCTCCAGCAAATCCTTTGGGCCCCTTCTGCCCATGTCTTCCTGGATGCCCAGAGGCACCCTGTTCGCCATGTTGGCCTTTAGCTCCGATTTCTCCCTGAAAAAGGAGAGCCAATCAAAGGTACCAGGTCGAAAGATAAAGCAATGATTTACTACAATTTAATAGGGAGAGAAGCTAACTCACTGGTGGACCAATACATCCAGGGTCTCCCTCATCACCAGTCGCTCCACGTGGCCCTGGAAAACCCTGTGATAAAGTCTGACTGAAGAAAAGCTAGATCCTACCGATTCTCCTGGTGTGCCTGCGACTCCTGTTGGACCCATTTCGCCCTACAATAACAAGAGTAAAGTTTTGTAATCATGCCATTACAACAATAAACCCATGGTTCCTTAACTGTATTAGAACGCTGATAGATAATAAAATGTTCTACTCACAGGGTAGCCTATTGGACCAGGTTTGCCTGGTAGACCGGCCCTTCCTTTGTCGCCATATTCCCCTGCAGGTCCCGGCGGTCCCAAGTCTCCTGGAGGTCCCTCAGGACCAGCGACTCCCATAGCCCCGGGACGTCCCTGTCAATAAGAAGGGAATAGCAGATTGCACAAGCAGTCAGGCAGGAACAGTAGTTTTACACCAATGAATGCATCTGTTGATAATTTTCCAAAGACTCTGTTGAGCATTATTATTGTGATTGTCTTTCAGTTAACTAGATATCCACACGAAACTAATCCACTAAGTTTTCATGGAGGAGTCGAAGTGTCTCAGAGCCCCTGGCCTACACAGAAAACAAAGTGGCAAAATTAATGACATGACGAACTGTAGGGTTCAAACACAGTAGGAAGTCTTACACAAAGTTTGGGAATTATCTTCCGTCTATCGGAACATTCGGCAACTCTTAGTTGTATTTGCAGAGGAGAGAAGAAATGGATGATAAACTTAAATATGCCAAATAGCCAGCAAGTATGTACGATTCGTTCATTAAGGTCATCCTTACGGATATCGATAGGCATTCCATCGGACCATTCTTAAGTAGCATCCGTTATTGGGACCGATAGGGCAAGCCAAAAAACCTATATGGCTTTTTCTGTAGCTGATCGTAATAGAACGCATGGTTTCGTTTATGACCATAGTTACATCCTTCTATGTTTCCGGTAAGCATAGCTACCTTGTATGTAGCTGTGTCAAGGATGCTTGGCAACGTCTATACAAGTACAAAATTCTTGTACTAAACATTTGGCCGGGTAAAAGACAATTCTTGGAATGTTGTTCGCTAATTTGACACTCATTTTCCGTTTTATGATGCACTACTAGTTTGAATAAGAGTTGACTACCACCGTACACACTCACTCACGTCGACTTACCGTTCTTCCAGGGTGTCCAGTGCACTTGCAGCCTTCTGGTGGACAGTCTGCAGTGCATAGTTCGTCAAATACTTCCTGTTTTGTTCCAGAAAAATCCCAAATAAGTTATGCGTATCTCAGTACAATAAAGACAACAAATAGACTGCAACTTGTTTTCAGGAATATCATTGTTAAATGACATGGTATTAGGTACTGACCGTGCATATGGTAACTAAACGTAGTGACTGGGGCCTTTTTTCAGTTCCGCACCATAGAAATACAGAAAAGCAATGAACCTACTAGCTCCGGCTGTGTTTACGCGGACCATATGTAGCGTCTCTGGACATTTCCAAACAGTCCCACTAGAAGCAGCACTGCGATCGGCTCCGGAAAAGCGGGGCGTCGGCCTCACATGCACTATTAGGGCTAAGCGGTACTTCACAGCAGAAAATCCCACTGACAGCTCGATAGTCTATGTAAGCGAACACATTTTCTTTTTAACCTCTCACCACTTTTGCTCAATGATATGTGGAAATATTGGTGGATACACCATACAGGCGGCTCAGAGTTGTCAGTTTTTAATGCGATGCCAGTTCGGTTACAGCTGCAGTCTGAGCCAACTTCTGTGAGTGAGAGAAAATTACAATAACAATATACGTATACATCTTTCTTTTGGTTTCCGAGAGGCTCTTTGTGTAGGTGATTGGACACACTTTGGATACGGGTAAGAACAAACCACGAATGTCGATGTACGAATGCCGTTATCAAGTGCTACTCGACTTCCCATCGGCACCGCTATGGGTTTATCTGCCAATACGATGATGCGCAAGAGAACATTTGGACTGTTTCTGCTGTGACTGACTGGCTTGAGGAGACATCCTGACCTCATATTACTGCTATCGCAATTATCACCCCTGGTTGCTATACCATGCCGCTCCAATTATGTGCTCATTCGCCTGGCCTGACGAAGCGTTTGAGTCAAAAGCGAAACCTTGCTCAACAACTACGCCAACAGATTGTTCCTAAACCTCTCTGAGCGCTGTAGTAATATAGGCAGAAATTCATCACATCTAGACTCAGTCAGACAACCAGCACACATCCTGAAAAGCACTGTACGGCCGTTCTATCGTTTCGGAAATCCTCGGCAGTGCGCATTCCATGTGACTGTTGTAGGGCTCAAACCCGCAACTCGGCTGTTTCCAGTATGTGGCTGAGAATACTGAGCGACTGTAGTGGTAGTGGTTCACATATGAGCAGGGTAATGTTTCGTTTCTATGTTGTGACTAACTCGTGACACATTCTGTTGCATATGACACTTCATTTGTTAGCAAATTAGTGCCCAGAAAATGGTATATATGCAAACTTTCTTTTATCTGCACCGCATATGAAAGTTACGTTATTAAGAAAAAAGATAAAGGACAGAAAACATTTAGAAGCAGGTTATCAAATCCAGCAAACTTACTGCAAGTGCAAGCTGACGACCAATCAGTAGCTTTAGGACCAGTGATAGACAGCATAGCATATTCATACATCTACAAGTAGGAGAGGGACACAATGACCCAAGGTGTATTTGATTTGGTGAAGATAAGATGCATACCAACAACAATTTTCCGTGACTCATAGTAAATGAAGGGGACTTTTAGGAATGTTTCTGATATCTTCTTCGGTCACTAAAGTGAATGCTTTTCAGGGCTGCGACAGCCATGTGTCTACAGCCGCGCTTGTTGCAACTTAGTGTTCTTTATGCCTAGATATTAGTATTATTTGTGAACGTTTATTGGATGCACCTCAGAATAATTTGCTACAAAACTAGCAGATAGACTAGATAACTGAGTTTGATAGACCTTCCTGATCCAAAGTCCATCGTTCGAACCTATATCATTATCGGAACGCATGGGGATGAAGGACTTGCCGGGCCTATCCAAACCAACAGACGCATTTGCAAGACCACTGTGTACAAGCGTCATAAAACTATCACTCTAAAGCACACCACAAGTTGCCCAAGCAGGGGACTGGAGCAAAGTGCTCAACCTACAGAAATCTGAGGACCCATAAGGCTAATGTGGTTAACGTGTAAGCAATGAAAAAAGCAAATGGTGGTCAGGATATAGCGGTGGTCGAATTCGGAGGTTTTTATGTTCTCCTGTAGAGTAGTGAGACAAGTTTAACGGGATAATGAAAGAGATTGATTTCTCAGCTCTTCGATCCGAATCACCGCCAGATAACTTGACACGAATAAAATGGTTTCAATAAAACCACAACTAGTTAAGTTGTCCGGGCGGCACTGTTCTACAGGAAGCGCGATTATCACTTGTAAGCAAGATATGCGGTTATTCAACATGGTTAATTTAGATCACCACTGAAAATCATACTAACGGGAATTCCTGAATGTCTTAGTTCCTACAGAGTTATATCACACATAATGCTAAACGAAACATTGGCTGCCACGATTGGGGTATTCAGTGGAAGCTATCGCAGACTACGAGGCGACCTGATTATGACATACTTGATTCTGCGAAACCCACATCATGTGTGTCGCCCTTTACTGCAACTCAGCAACAATACAAACCTGCGGGACCACTTACTGAAACTCGCTGTACAGTATAGCCGCCTGGGGTGCCGCAGAAATTTCATTTCAATTTGTGTCTGTCACCCGTGGAATGCTCTCTCAGAATCGGTTGTCTCTACACCGACACTAACAGTATTTAAAAGACTGTTGGATGACGCACTCATCCACATACACTTTGTCACTTAGTACTACGTCTCCATACTACACCTGCAGTTTACCATAGAATTATTTGATGGTGACTGCGGGTGCTGTGAATCTAAGCGGATTGCAGGACTACAGCGAAGCAAACGAAAAGTCCTTATTTTCATATTTAGAGCAAGAAATGTTTTATTACCATTATTATCATTATTGTTATGTCGATGTCCCCACCAACTATCCAACAGAACTAGTAAAACAACGCTTCTTAACTCGTATAAATTCATTGTTCATTGTTCTACCGCTGGTAATAAGAAGCGAGCTTGTTGTAGTGTAGTGACCTTATTGTGGCACCTTGCTAATTATTGTGTAGTGGAGGTGGAGCGTAATTGGTGTATATAGCAAACTACTACGAATATTCCGTGCACTTTTGGTGCGCAATATCCCATGGTCGAACACTTTGAATAGTGCTTACAACACTAACTTAAACGCGTTATAATATTCGGACGTGCTCACTTACACATACCAAGTGTACAACGTTTTCAAAGCTCGTTAATCGAGTACATTTTTATCATTACATACGCAAATGAGTACACTTACCGAACGCGCGACTGTTGGCACATGATTCAATCTGTATCAGTGTCCAGCACCACCAACAATCATACAGATCCCGTAAGCTTCGTTGCTGTCCACAGATGATTCGGTTGTTAGAAATTTGTCGCCCGTTTGCGCGAATCGTTGCTACCGTCAGTTGCCTTTGTATAGACGGACCGTCCTCCTCCTAGGGTTCGGCATCATTGATTTCGGACGGATCCCATGCGCAAGTCATCTTGGTTCCCCCATCATCTGTGTGGGTTGACATTTGTGGACATGCTTACAGATGTGATATATCTCTTGTTGCGCAGCAACTGAATGGGATGTTCGTGTGCTGGTGAGTGCGTGCGTCACGGTGCCGGTGTGCTGAATTAACTGTGGCGCTTGGTCGTTGAATTAACCGGTTCGTTCGATGCAACCACCCCAACCGGACAATCCGATCGAGTCGATGGAAGTACGAATATGGCTGATGACTTCATGGCCATAGGTTGGGGGAACGAGCGACTGCAATCGAACGAACCAAACAATCAGTCATGCACACACACACCAGCCTCCGTTGATTGGGGAACCGGTACACTGAGCGGTCTGTTCCACCGCCGACTGTGCCAGCGGGAAAAGGGACGCGTGGGTTGGGCTGTCCCGTACAATTCATGCTTGGGCAATCGCGCCGGTTTGAACCTGCGCTCGTTGTTGCGTGCCAACAAGCACGTCGCGACAGCCTTTGTACCCAGTTAGTTGTTTAGGCAAGAAAAACGAACTACGTGACATAGATGCCCGCAATAAGTCAAATGGTGGAATTTGCAAAGCAAACGGCCTGAGTTTGCTGTACCCCTTGCTTCTCACTAAATCTGTTCGGGTTTGATTACAACCCATCAGAAATACCTATTGTTAGTGAACGGACTCACCAACCCATAGGTATCAACAGATATCCTCTCATTTAGCCGGTGCTGGACGAATACTATAAGGATGAACGGAATAGTAATCTTTTTAGGTTGTCGGCCGCAGCTAGCAAGATACTACACAACTGTTGTCTCACACAGCCGGTAGCTATACACTAGTCCAAAAACAACAACACTTGCAAGCTTACTTTCTGGCCATCACACAGAGCCTACATAATGGTGTCGATGACATTCCGAAGCATCACAGTGTGAGTTAAGAGAAACGCAACAATTTCTTATTCTCTTATACTTTATGCGGGGTGGTGGCTGCCCAAAGCTTGCAGAATAATTCATTCTTATATATAACGCTGATGGGAATTTTGGCTGACGCACTCCCCCCTGCAAAGCCAATTTATAAAACGCAACCGCAATATATGCTTAAAAATAGACTTCAGAATAGGTGGTACACTGGAATCATTGGCAGCCGATGGCTGACAACTTCTTGTTTATGAATGTATAAAGTGAGAATAAAACGGTTTAGCACAATATACATTTATAATCTTAGTGTATAGGGGATTCCGGTGGTATAAATCAAGCTTGGACTTGCATCAGATCGGTGATCCGGAGCCCAACCGCTCCATGTACGAAGTCTGCGTCTCATTGCTCACGCCCGATAGCCGAGCAACTGATCTCATTTGCGCCCGATCTCAGATTCAAGTGCCATTCATAATGAAATTCAGAAGCAACTGCTGGCCATTTGGTTAGCTCGTTCCACCGTGAAACGTACGGTAGTAGTGTACTCAATGCATGCTATTCGAGTCTGGATTGTGCAAATGAAAGCGATTTTTTGCAGTTTTTCAGAGTGTCGGTTGCGTCACGCAAGATGGTCGATCGGTGAAAGAGTTACACACCTGATTTGTAATTCGTAGATCTCCGGTTCGAGTTCTACCCAGCCCATGTGCTACTATTAGTGGTCACAGAGTAGTGTAACGACAGTACGGTGTGCAGACTTACTGCTGATGCCTTCTTTGTTCTTTAAGCAACAAATGCTTGGGATCTCATGTCCACAACCGAGATTTGTTTGCGCACAATGTTTGCGCACAATGGTTATGGATGCCGATTTAGTGATTCAGGGAATGTCACCGTTCCGAAACGATAGTCCAAGCAGGGGAGTTGGCGTAATTCTGTACTGTCGCAACAAGTTACCTTATGAACCATTGGATGGTCCAGGGAACGGGGTCACCGATTTGCTATGGTGCCGTGTGTGTCTCAGATACGATAACAACTACTTCCTGGCAGTGTTTTATCGCCCCCCACTGTCCACTCCAGAGATTGATTCCTGCCTAATATAGGCACTGATAAAAAGCTTATTCCCAACCTACAGCCACCTGCTAATCTTAAGCCATTTTAATATATACGGTTTGGGCATCTCGGCACCCTCCAGCGAAATATTCAGGGACGAGCCGCAAAGAACTTGTCGCAAGTATTTAACTGTCCAGTCACACTACGTCACGCACTACGTACAGAGCTGACAACAAAGCTTCGGTACTAGACCTTGTACTTACTAGTGGGAAATTCACAATAGGCAGGCCAATAATAGAGACATCAATAGGACTAAGCGATCAAGTCATCATAGTTTACAACCATGGGTGCAATGTTGCAAATCCGAAGGAAAACACCGACTCCACACGCACCATCACGTGTAACAATACCTTGACAGACCTGGTTGCGATAACTGACTGGCTCCCTGAGAGCTCTTATATTTGGTTTGTTTGAGGTTTCATCCATCTGATCATAACTACCTCGGAAACTAAGCGGGTTCGTTCCACCAAGCGGACGTCGAACATCAGAAGCAACAATCGAACTCACGTATCAGTTAGGAACACTTAGTTACATGCTTACCGAACCTGTTCTGGTCCCGAAACGAGGAGCGAATAAGTCACCCAGTACGACCGCTGTAACGCAATTGTCATTGAGGACAGAATGACTCATCAAAAATATCTGGCTTACAAACAAATGAGAAGCTCCTAGATAAACATCTTAACAGCATTCGCAACGTCAAGTAAAGTATCCCCCAACTTAACAAGACGGTAGGGGTCTCATAGTGAGCTGAAGAAGCAGCCATTGCTTTACGGATACCGTATGCCCCGTGGCTTTCAACGTGATGTACGCCACCGTTGCACATCTACCAATGTAAGGACCTAATCTCGTTATTCTTACTAGTAAAAATATGTTGAGGAAACTTCTCTCACGAGTCAGTTACAGTCCTCATTAAATCGCTGGCTTTCATTCGACGGTGAAAAGCTCAGTAGCAACAACGTTAAAACGAAAATCATCACTCTTCCTCCAAACGTGCTTGGATAAATGTATGGTGCATACAGTGGTATGAGTGTGGTAATGGCAGCTGTTTATATTCGCCTACGTATTGGGAACGGACAGGCAAAGAGGCCACTTGATCGACTGTCCGCCGCCAGTCGAGCAGTAAAGCATACGCGCGTGGTCGAGAATCGCTTTGTATGCCCACATGACCAACTGGCTCGATCGTTGTTAAGTTTCCGCCAGAGGTAGCCAATCTTGGAAGGGCAAGCCGGGATCGCTCAACGGAGCGTTGCTTACCCTATAAATAATAAGTTGCATTCTGTTCCGGATATATTATGCTTGCAGCTCAATCTTCGTTTTGATTCCCGGAGGGCGCATTGCTGGCACTACTGTATCGAACGTGTCAAACCGCGGTGAACCACCTGAGCTGCTAAGTTGCTGTGGAAATTACTGCACAAACCCATACTGACTCTAACCGAGTTTCCCTCAGGACACCAATACATGGAAACAACTCATATGCTTTGCTAACATTTACCATTTCCTATAGTTTATGATATTAGATTGAACTGTAAAAAACCATGTTTCGCTTTGACTGAAACAGTAAAAGCTTTTGCTAACGGTCAGTCTTTCACCTTCAGGTCTCAGTGCAGTCGTGCTCCGTTACGCGTGATTGGTCCCCAGCCTCATCTCGAGTGTTCGTCTGGCGGCTAGGTCTCGGTAAGCCGCAACATTACGAATTCTATTGGCTACTATGCACGCGTGGGGCAATATCTGTAAAGTACATTCGTCCGTTCCGACTAACAGTCTAAACAACTAGGGGCTGTTACACCACTACCACAGGTTAATCACAAGGTACATTTAGTAGATGCACTTCCGTTATAGTTTTGTTAGAAAGATCCCATAGCGGACAATCAGTTTGTAGTGTTCAGCGACTGAAGCAACATCGGCTAGTATCAGTCTTACGACGAAGTACATAGTACTAGGAAAGAACAATGCCTCTAGCTTGTCAAGAAATCAGACATGTTGAATCGATCAGTAATTGTTAGTTCTAGTTTGGCGATTATATTGAGTTATTTATGTCTTTAAAGTGACTAAAGGTTTCGAAGCATCCTAACTTGTATAAGAAGTAATCTGGAAGGGGGAGTGCTGTCGTGCTTGTTCTATTCTAGAGATTAGCAGTGATTACACGTTTGGATATAGGTACAGCATCAGCCCTGCTTTACTGCTAGGAAAGTGTGAACACCCGCTGACGTATGGGTTTTGAGAAGGTGATCTCGTCCTTTCACAGTAAAGCAGAGGTGAAAACTATTAATGTCAAGAGAACAGAGAGGTAGAGAACCCTCTGTACTTTCTTGTTTGGGACCGTCCGATTTCTTTGTGAAGAAGTTTACTTCGACGGTAATGCTGCACAAAACTGAATAACACTTGCTCTGATCATTGAACCATAGGTTAGTTTCCATGCACAGTGTTCTTTTGTGTTTAAACATTTGATTAATTTGTAGAGGCTATTTAAAGAAAGATTTTGATAAGTGTTTTGTACGAAACTAATAACGTTAAGTAACCGAAGTATATACTCTAGTCTATAGACTGACGATAACCAACAAATCTAACCAAGAGCGCAGCACGTTATTTGCTTTGCTCTTAAACATAAGCAAAAGTACCTTCGTTTGAATTTATGACAATCCACTAAGGGGCATGTTCACATAAGCTAAATCAATTACTTCGATTTTTGGAAGTGGTTGACTATCCAATTAACTGACTGATTAGTGAGATCGGTAGATACTATAAGACAGAAATTTGGCGGAGAAGTGAATGTGCTCGAAAAAACACTT